CCACCATCATCATCACCACCATCACCACCATCATCATCACCATCATCACCATCATCACCACCATCATCATCACCACCATCACCATCATCACCACCATCATCATCACCACCATCACCACCTCCATCACCACCATCATCATCACCATCATCACCCCCATCATCATCACCATCACGACCACCATCACCACCATCATCCCACCATCACCATCATCACCACCATCATCATCACCACCATTACCACCATCATCATCACCATCACCATCATTATCATCATCACCACCGTCATCACCATCATCATCACCATCACGACCACCATCATTATCATCATCATCATCACCATCATCACCACCACCACCATTATCACCATCCTTACCATCATCACCACCATCATCACTATCATTACCACCATCATCACCACCATCATTACCATCATAATCACCACCATCACTGTGATCATCATCATCACTATCATTATCATCATCAACTTGATAATTAACAGTTATTGATGTGATTATTACATACCAGTAGCATCAGGTGCTTTTTACCAACTCTATGAGATCAGTATTATTATAAACCTTATTTTACAGATGAGGAAATTGAGGCTCAAAGGGGCTGGATAGCATTCCCAAGATCACACGGCTAGTAAGTGGAAAACAAAGATGTATCTCATCTTTGTGGGAACACATATCTTCTAGGACTTTCTATTTTCACCATAGTCCTTCCTTCAGCTGTCACCTGTCCTTCAATGATCTGGCCCCTCTCTGGTGTAGAGAAGGCTGTTTCTGTCAGGTCGTGGGACAGACAAAACTGGCCTGAGTTTGCTCTATTTTATCAACAGATAAACAAGTACATTTAATCTCAAATAAGATTGTCAGTCCTTGTAAAGCTTTTTAAAGACCAAGACTGGCCACTTTGGGAATGACTGGTGTTTTCACTGGGGAGAAAATTCACACTGCAGACAGGGCTAACCACAGGCTGGGCACCTGGAGACCTACTTGGAGGAAATTACACTAGGAGGCTCCCACTGAGCTTCCTTTCTGCCGACACCCCCAGCTCCTCATCCACCCAGCATCGGGGTTCCTGGGAGGTTAGACCCAGCACTGAAGCAAGGGTAGTTTCCTTGGTGCCAGGGAGTTACCCAACCCCGTCCCATTAACACAACGCACAACTGGTCTACCCATTGCCTGGAGAAGCGATGTGCAACGATCCCCATCGGGAACAGCTAGCTCTGGAAGCCTTGGGCCCTGAGTGCCGGCGGGCCGAAGGCACAGGGGATAGTGCAACAGAGGAGAGCAGAGTGCTGGGAAGGATGCTGGTGGGCAAGAAGTGCGTCACCTTCTCTGACCCTAGGATTCTGCTGATGGCTCATGCAGACCTGCTGCTATTTCTGCTGAGCTCCCATTCTTGTCTGAAGTCTGCAGCAGAGGGGGTGCTAACTGCATTCAAGTAACACTTCCGAAGGTAATTTCACACACTGCCTCCGTGCTGATGAGGCACTATTAATTTGGGGACACTTTAACACGACTGCACTGTGCCAGCTTAGCAACCTGGCTAATTAATAGGGAAAAAAAAAAAAAGAGTAAGGGATTGATTTAAAGAGACATTGTAATGAAGAAAATAAAGAGTCACTGCAAATGTTTTCACACAGGGAGAGAGTTTGGGATTCTTTACATGTCACTGGAGGTAAGGGCATAATCTTGTTGATAGATGAGTGTGCAATTTTGTATATTTTTCTTATAAATCATTATGGTACCGTAGAATCACATCATCACATGGGGAAAGGGAGTGAATAAGACAGGACATGAGAAGAGAGAGGGGCGGAAATGGAGTCATGGCGAGAGTGTGTACGCACAGGGCATTTCTCGGGTCCTGGGATGCAACACCCCTCAGATGGCAGTAAAGGGGCTGGATGAGGGCCATTGCTTCACCAACCTGGGCAGTGCTGGCTCGATCCCTGAACCCCTGTAAAAGAATTTTTTAAACCTTCCTCGAGAGCCAGCCTGTGTTTTAACTGAGGAAGGATGGCCATGGTGGCAGGTGCTCATCATTGGTACCCTCATCGTCGACTACATGCTGGGTGGTGGCCATCGTCTGCCTGCAGGTGAAGACATCAGGCAGGGCAGAAGGGCTCCGACTGCTGCAGAAGCAGTTCATTCTCGGAAGTCCTGGGGCCCAGTGAGCCCTGCTCTGGGGCCCTCCTAGTGAAGCGTCCCCTGAGATCTCAGGCATGCTGCTGTGGTCAGGGCCCTGGGGCAGGGCTGGCAATCCACGGAGCAGAGCAGAGTCAGAGACGGAGCCTGGAGGATGTGCCCAGAAGGTGCAGGCTGGCTGGGAGAGGAGCACGGCATGCTGGGAGCTTCCCCGGGAATGTCTGGGACACAGCGGTTGGTCCTTCGTCAGCAGATGGGCCCAAGCAGGGAAACTCAAGTCAGGGCCCTCCTGCTCACTGTTCAAAGGTGCCGCCGTGGACGGCGGGCTCAGACTGACGATTCCCCGCACGGGAAGGTCCGAGCAAGGTGGCAGCGATGCAGCTCTTTGGTGTTACCTTTCACATTCAGACCTAAGATAACCTTTTATACATTGAGTTTGGGGGAGGGAGAGGTCAGGTCTCCCTCCCTTCCACCAGCAGGGCCTCCGCTCTGCCCCGAACCTTGGCAACACCACACTGGTGACATGCAGCTCTGAGAGGGCTCACCTGGGCCCTGGGACCAGCACATCCCCAGCTCAGAGGGTCATGTGTAGTCAGGCAGAGTGACAGCTTGGGTGTAGTGGGCAGCTCAGGGGAAGCTGGTGGAGAGGCGATCTGGCACCAGGGTGGGGCCCAGATCTTGTCCTCCAGGCAACGGCAAAGGGGCCTTCCTATGGGGGGGTGGTGATGACTCAGCAGATGATGGGAGATGAGTGCAGAAGGGTCCAAGGGACACTGGAGGCTCATTTCTGAGGCGGCATGGACAGGACTTGTTACCAGTCGAATGCTGAGCAAGGTAGCCGCGACAGTGCACTCTGACCTGGGTGAATGGACAGTGACTCCGTAAGGTGCAGGCGAGAGGCAGACGGGGCGCCCTGGCGGGACGAGATGCCAGGAGACCAGGAGGCGGACGCGGGGCAGGGGGAGAGTCACTTCAGGAATGCACCTAAGGCTCATGGAGAGGAGAGCTGGGGGCAACGTCGGAGAGGGAGCGCATGCGCACAGAGACGAGGGTGCCGGCAACAGGGCCACCTGCCGTCGTTCTGTGACGGCTGCAGGGAGCAGTTACTCAGCAGGAGGAGGACGGACCGGCAGAGTGGCGCTCGGGAGAGAACCGGCCCCGGCTCCCACTGTGGCACCGGGCACCTAGTAGGTGCTCAGTCAGCAGAGCAGACAGAAGCTCGTCTCTCCCACCAGGAAGGCCAGACCCCAGGAACGCAGGAGCTTCGGGAGTGCATGCCTGAGGACAGCTGTCTCAGCTCGCCTGCCACAGGAGCCACAGACACTCAGCCTGCTGTGCGTCAGCTGGAGACAGCCCTTTCCCCCAGCGCGTCAGGCAGTGTGACAGGCTGCCGGGCCGCCTCCGGTGACAGACACACGCTGCCTGGTGCAGCCCCAGAGCTGGGGCGGAGGGAGGGCGAGCGAGGAAGGAGGGCATCTCCGCTCAGGCCCTGGACCCTGAGCACACTCACGCCCCCTCCCACGGTCACCGCGGGCGCTTTCTGTCAGTGGCTTCCGAGTGACATGCACAGGCCACTCGGATGTGAGGGTCCCGCTGCAAGGCTCATTACGGAAGCCGGGAGCAGGATGCAGGGACGTGAATGTGCCGGGACCATGGGCCATCTTGCTGCTTAAGAGAAACTGGAAAAGCAGGAGAGAAAGTGCCAGAACCGAAGAGGGTTTGGGATCAGGGGCCAGGGAAAGGGCGGCCCCTGCTGCCCTGGAGCACTGGCATGGGGCTAAGCCAAGAGCCTTCCCGAAGGAAGGGAAGGAGGGAGGAGGGAGAGGGGGAGGGAGGAGGTAGGGAGGGGAGGAGGGAGGGGGAAGGAGACAGGAAGGAGGGACAGGGAGGAGGGAGGGAGGGGAGGAGGAGGGGGAGGGGAGGAGGGAGGGGGGAGGGGGAGGGGAGGAGGGAGGGAGAAAGGAGCAGGTGCAGTGAGGAGGTGTGCAGGGAGAGCCAGGAGCATGGGTCCCTATGAGTACAAACTTCATGGTTCATGTGCAGCCGCGATCCATACGCAACACGTGCTGGTCTCCCGCTCTGCCTTTGCCCTTTCGGACTCCTGGGTGAACCTGCCCTGCCCCTGGGTTCAGTGGCATTTAGGTGAGACTCCTCTAGTGGATGGATGGATGGATGGATGGATGGATGAGTGACGTACAGGACTTTCTGAGGAGCGGGCCGTGTCTCCGACTGCTCAGGCTGCTGTAACAAATACTACAGACTGGGTCGTGGCTTGACCAACAGAAATGTTTCTCACAGTATGGGGCCTGGAGGTCTAAGTTCAAGGTGCTGGCTGACTCAGCTCCTGGCGGAGTCCCTCCTGGCGTGCAGATGGCTGTCTTCTCAGCCTCCTCACATGGTGGAGAGAGAAGGAGAGGGAGCAAGCCAGCGAGCTGTGGTCTCTTTTCCGCTCCTAAGGACACTAATCTCACCATGGGGGCCATCTAACCTAATGACGTCACACTTATGACGTCATCTAACCTAATCACCTGCCAAAGTCCTCACCTCCAAATACCATCACACTGGGCTTGGAGCGTCAGCATGAGAGTTGGAGGTGGGGGGTGGCCCCACAAACATTCAGTCCATAACATCATGTTTTCTGATTGTTTAAGGGATATTGGCATTAGATCAGTTCGATGAACATTTTCACAAGCCAACACTATGTTCTAGACAAATACATCTTTTAATTTTAAACTAGTTTAAGAGTATTACTGTAGAAAGTAGGAGCTAAAACATTGGGGTGGTGACATTGATAAATATCTCTGTGTTTATCCGATAAACGAGGTGCGCACACTCTCCGCAGCCTGCGGTGTCAGATCAAAGGGGGCACTTCAGGGTTATCTTCGAAGTCTGGATCTTCCTCACTTGGCATCACTCCGGGTGCGGGCCGGACTCGCCTGGGCGTGTGTCTTGCCCCTTGAACTATGTTAGCCACATCGGGGAAGGAGTGCTTGCTGGGGTCCACTTCTAGTTTCTCAGTTGGCTTGCTTCTATAACAACACAAAGGCCAGAGGAAATTGATACATCGTTTAAAATTCAAGTCCAAACAGCTTCACCTTGCTCGCGCACTTATGCAGCAAATGCTGCTGAAGTGCTATCCCTGGAGCTCAGAGACCAACAGTAAGAGACTGTGCCTGGTTGTAAGCAGCTCAGAGCCTGCAGAAGCGTGAGCGTGGCCTTGGGGTAACCGTGTTGAACCCGGGCTGTGCCAAGGCCCTGGCGGCTGGTGGAGAGGTCAGCTGGGCGGAGGTCTGCTCACCTACGTCCAAGCCCAGGGCCAGGATCCCGGTGCAATCACTCCAGGCCGGTCTTACTCCTGGATGTCGCTAATAAGGCTCATGGACCCTGCTGGGCCAGACGGGCCCCATCTGCTGTGGTTGGCAGGAGCCTTTACACTCACGTTCAGGCGTGTCGCAAAGCTCCGCCCACCCATTTCCCCGCCCACAAGAACCTGCTCCTGCTGCGCGCAAGGGCTGGAGGGAAACAGGCAAGAAAGAAGCTCCTCTGGCCAGTGGTCACTGTCAGAGAAACGCTACATAACACAGGTCATTGGGCTGCTTTTCTGGCGATTTCGATGCCACAGGCCTGAAGCTGGGCCCATAATCAGTATTTATATAAAGTCCCCCCTGTGACTTTGCTGATCAAATTATTTTGGACTCACTGCACCATTCATTCAGTCAGGCAGTCCACAGAGAGAGACACAAGTGCCTACTGTATTCCAGACCCCAGCAAGCCAGGGTCTGAGCCAACAGAGGGGCTCCCTGGTGACTACGCTGAACGTGGACAGAGTGCTCGGGTATAAGATCTACCGCGTCGCCACGTTGTTGTCTCATGATGGTCAGCGTCCCCGCTAGACTGACACCCTGGATACAGAAATGTGGTCTTTTTCATCTTGTATCTGTGGCATACAGCTTTACTCAATAAATACTTGTTAAGTAGATTTTTTTAAATCACGGTTGTCTAACCACTGTGCTGTACACCTGAAACTGATACAAAATAATATTGAATGTCAACTGCAATTGAAAAATAAAATTTAAATAGAAGAATAAAGTCATCCTACTACTGTGGGAAAGTGAAATTCAGTGAAGATTACCTGCGACCTGAAGGCAGGCCTCGGTCTCCTCCAGAGCTCCTCGGACCAGCCTCAGGCAGGGGCCTCGCTTTGTTTGGGGAGGGAGGTCCCACTGTCTTTGGAAAGTGTAAATTCTCTGTTGTTCTTAAAACCCTTCCCCGGGTCCTGTCACCTGCTCAGCCCTTGAAGGCATTTGAGTCTCTGCCTCCTCCCAGTATCCTGACTGATACACGCGGAGCTGCCGCAGACAACACCCAGTGCGCAAAGAGCTGACGCAGCCTCTTCCGAAGGCCCTGGTTTACGCCACAGACCATGCGGGAAGTTACAGTTTCCAAACACCCGCATTCCAGCCGTTATTAAATAGAGTTCTGCTTCGTAATGGCTATGTTCTTGCTTACCAGGCTACGCTCTTGGTGGCTTACCTAAGTAAACACTCGGATCCATCTGTTATGATCACGTCGGCCTTACTTGGCCGGAAAGCGGCCTCTCCCTCCCAGCTGTCCCCTGGGCCACAGCTCGCAGCCCTGTGGTAGAGAGGGAGCGTAGCCAGGATGCAGGTGTCTGCTGCTCCCCTCCTTCAGAGGCGGGGGGGGGGGGGGCGGTAACTGGGATCAGGACTTTGATTACTCAGGAAGCTCTGGGTAATCAACCATGAGCAGCCAGGCCTGGGGTGCTGGAAGATCACACTGATCCCCCAAATGAAGAGGAGAGCGCTTTCTCCCTGCTGCTTCCTGCCTGACACAGAGGCCTGACGCACAGGTGCCCGCGTGGTGTCACCCAAGCCTGGCTGCCAGAGCCAGAGCCGCTCCAGTCTAGTAAGAACGACTGGAAGACACGGTGAATATATTTATCACCAAACAAGGAAGCAACGACAACAGAAGTATCACTAGGCACAGAACACATCCAAGAGCGGTTCCTTCTATTAAGGAACAGAAGAACTTTCCTTCAGTAACATGTGGGCTGGTGTATTTGGCCCAGAGACTCCCCTTTCCAGCTGAAAGTTTTCTTGAGATCATTAAGGATCTGAAGAGATAATCAAGGCCAACCAGAGGTCGGAAAATAGTGAATGGAGGAACCCGGAGAAGGGAGTGGACCCTGCAGCCACCTCTGCTCTGTGGGCATCTGCTCCAGCCCTTGGAGTTGTGCCTTGGTCGTGCGGACCGTATGGAGTCTGGGGACAGAGGTCAAGGTCCTGAGCATGCCACATGGGCAGTCTAACGGGATGTCCTCTCCCCAGTTAGTGTGGGGTCCCAAAGGCTTCTGTCTGGTGAGAGTGAATAAGAAGTGAGCCCACACTGCCCACCCGCCCAGGGGGCTGTGAGGATGGTTGCCCCAGTGGGACAGAGGAGAGCTGAGTTGTCACCACAAGCTGATGCTTCCATGGTTTACGGCAGCTGGTGGTTAACAAGCCTCAGCCTTGCATTTAGAGTGAGGTGGCTCCAAGCAGGCAGTGCCCTTAGGTCTGCCCCAAAGCACAGGTCCAGGCTCCCTGGCTGAGTGCCTTCTGGTCCTCCGAGGAGCCCACAGGCCGTTTCCCCAGCACTGGAGCAGCTCACAGTAAAAACTGATTGTAAGGTTTATAGGGAGGTCTGAAGATTCAGACTAGCCAGCACAATGCTGGAGAAGAACAAAGTTGGAGGACTGGGGCTCCTCCACCGACAGACTTATTATAAAGCTACAGTAACCGAGACAGTGTGCAGTACTGGCGAAGGAATAAAAAATAAATGGATGGAACGAAACCAAGAGCCCAGAAATAGACCTTCATAGACATAGTCAACTGAGCTTGGACCAAGGAGCAAAGACAATCTCTTCAACAAATGGTGGTGGAAACACTGGACATCCACGTGCAAAAGAAAAAAGAAAAAGAAAGAATCTAGGCACAGATCTTAACAACCTTCATAGAAATTAAACAAAATTGGCCATTGACTTAAACATAACATTCAAAACTATAAAACTCCTAGAAGGTAACAGAGGAGAAAACCTAGAAAACTTTGGGTACGGTGATGACATTTCAGATACAACACCAGAGGCATGATCCATGAGAGAAGTAACTGACAAGTTGGACTTCATTAAAATGAAAAACTTCTGCTCTGTGAAAGATAATTTCACAAAATGACAAGACAAGTCACAGATGGGGAGAAAATATTTGCCAAAGACATCTGATAAAAGACTATTATCCCAAATATACAAATAACTCATAAAACTCAACAATAAGAAAACAAACAGTGTGATTGAAAGACAGGCCAAAGACCTTCACAAAAGCCTCCCCAGGGCAGATGTGCAGCTGGTAGGGAGCAAATGAAAAGATGCTCATGCTCCCCACCAAATGTCGTCAGGGAGATGCAAATTAAAACAAGGAGGTGCCACGACGCACCTGGGAGAATGGCCCCGATCCCGCGCACTGACAGCGCCAAATGCTGGCGAGGACCTGGAGCGACAGGAGCTCTCGCTCATCGCCGGTGGGGATGCAGACGGAGCAGCTTTGTTTCCTACAAAGCTGGACATACTCTTACTATATGATCCAGCAAACACACTCTTGGTATTTACCCAAAGGAGTTGAACACTTATGTACACAGAAACCTGCACACGATGTGTGTAGCATAACTGCCCAAACTTGGAAGCAACCAAGATGCCCTTCGGTAGGTAAATAAATAGATAAACTGCCGTGCATCCAGACAATGGAATACTATTCAGCGCTAAGATAAAATATGCACGATCAAATCATGAAAACACATGGAGGAATCTTAAATGCATATTACTAAGTAAGCTAAATCAATCTGAAAAGGCTACCTACTGTATGATACCAACTACATAACACTTTGGAAAAGGCAAAACTATGGAGACGGTAAGAAGATCCATGGTGGCCAGGGTGTGGCGGGAGAGAGGGTTGAGGAGGCGGAGCACAGAGTGTTCAGGGCAGTGAAACCACTCTATGTGATACTATACTGGTGGACACATGTCATTATCCATCCATCCAAACCCAGAGAATAAACAACACTAAGCCTGAGCTTCATGGAAACTGGACTCTGGGTGACAATGATGCGTCAGTGGCGGGTCATCGACTGTGACACGTGCACCGCTCAGAGGGGGTGCTGACAATGGGGCAGGTTATGCATGAGCGGGCAGTGACTCTCGGGGAAATCTCCATGCTCTCTACTCAGTCTTGCTGCAACCCTAAGACTGCTCCTGGGAAGAAAGTGTAGTTGAAGAAAAAGACACCGTGAAGGGGAAGAAGGCAAGCCCATGGATGAACCAAGTTTATGATTCTGGTTCCACCACTCACTCAGCAACTTTGTGATCTTGGGCGGATTATTTAATCTCTTTGAAACTCAGTCCATTAGAAATGACAAGAGTTAGCCGTTGTTGTTTCGAAGAGCGAAGATAAGATCACGCACAGCATCACACAGCACAGGGCAGGCGCCAATACTCAACACAGCCGTTTGGGGAAGTTGTGTGTCTTCCTTCACTGTGCAGTGTCACAGGACCACAAGAGTTCACTGAGTCCCACCTCCTCCCCCAAACACAACCCCATCCGGTCTGGATGAACAAGGCCCTCCTCCATCTGCCTTCCGTTCCCAGCCACTCTGCTCCCCAGCACGAGGACACGACAGCTCTGGCGGGGAGACGGTCCAGAGCCGCTGCTCACCTGATGCATCAGCAGCCCTGCCTTCCCTCGAACTACCCACCTGCCCGCCCTCATTCCCTTGTGCAGCCGTGATGGGCAGCTGCTTGGTTGATGGGCTTGTGCAGCCAGAGGCTAAGATAATGTGGATAATGAAGTTCGCCAACGATTCAGGAGCACCACCAACCATGTGTGGTTGGAGGTGATCATTTCTTATTGATAAAGATGAAAAAAAACCTCTTCAAAAATAACATAGGAGGTGCTCCTGGGAAGAATGGTACAAAGACATCGCTGGTCACCAAGTGTGATCCCAGTGGTGATGCTCTTCCTAGGATCTGAAAACCAGCTGCAAACTGCTTACGCTGACTGGGCTTCCCAGCCAGGAGCCCGCACAGATCAGATTCAGATCTTTGCATGAGCTGGTGCTGCTGGGGGCTAATCATAGCTGTGAATATTCATGACAGTCATGATGCCCTGGGCGCTCTGTACATTACATGTGTATCTGAAATGGAAATCCCTAAGCTGGGAAATACAAGTGCATTCCCGAGGTTAAAAACGGCTCCCTCTTTTCAGTAGGAATTCAATCCCATACCTGTTCAGACAAACCCCATGTTTGAAAATCCCTGCCCAACTCCGACAGCTGTCTTTGAATATACAAATGCCTAACTACTTGTATTATGCAAGACATAAATATAGCTCCTGTTCAGGTATTTTTACAGTGATAATCCTGGCATATACATTTGTATCACAAAGATAGTTTGCATTGGTTCAAAATAGATTTGCCATCTGGGTGGCAAGAGTCTGGAAATCATGACAAGTAGAAGGAAAGTTGAAAGAATTGGGCTGTTCATTCTAAGGAAGAATTGAGAAATGAGGAGAGCTTTGTCCAAAATTCTTTAAGGGACATCACTGCTTATGGGGTGCTGCTCTGTTCCAAGGGTCCCCAGGGGGCAGAGCCAAATCTTCAGTTAGGGATCAGAGAGGCTTTGTAAGAACAGGAAGTACTCAGAATGGAGTAAACATTCTCTCAGGAGGGTGAAGGCCCTGGTGGGAAAGGAGCGTAAGCGAAAGCTGGAGGATGACCCATGACCAGGAGGTTGGCTCTGGAAGCCAGGGAGATTCGGAATCTATGAGGTGACGTGTGGGTCATCAAAGGCAGTGTGAGCAGCACTCTGAACAGGGTTCAGCAGTTGTCCCAGTATGTCATGGCTACGCGACCTTCGAACATTCTAAACTTCTCTCTCCCTCATCTTCCCGTCTGTAAAGGGCAGATACCGATGGTGCAAGTGAAATGTGTTGACATGGGCAAAGCTCGCGGAAGAGCACCTGACCCAGTCACTGCTGCTGATGACACCTCTCTTATTTTCATGACAATCGGGACCTATACACACACAGATTTGCTTTCAGGGATTGAGGGCCTTGCATATCAAGACTCAAAGTTTGGGGAATTAACATTCACGATATGAACCACTTTAAAAAATTGCATCTCTTTGGGAAGTGCACCTAGCTGCCAAGGACAGTGTAGAGAACATGATAAAGCTCAAGAGGGCCTGGGAGGACGTACCTTTTGTCCGGCTGCTCTCTGCTGCTGTCCATGGTACTTCGCACAGATGTGTGTGTTCCCCGGCCGCCTGTGATGACCTCTCCTGCCTGAAATAAAAATACAACACACATTAAGTGGTGAATTACACCCTGATAAGTATTTTAAAATAACATTATTTTTGTAGATGTTTTTAAGATGCTAAAGTGCTTTAATTTTCACATAATCCATGACAGAGTCTAACTTTACCTTCTGTATGTGGTAAGAAATGCCATATAAGAAATCATATCTGTTCACAATAGTCTTGCAAAGCCACAAGGTATAATTCATTTGCCAAAGGGCAAACAGGAGGATATGGTGAATTAATTCATTTAATAATGAACTTTCTGAGCACCAGCAGCATGCCGGACCCTGGGTGGCGGGGGAGGGGGGTTGGGGATACAGATGTGACTGATACCTGGACCCTCGGGGGGAGAGGGGGTGTTGGGGATACAGATGTGACTGGTACCCCAACCCTTGGGGGGAGATGGAGTGTTGGGGACACAGATGTGACTGATACCTAGACCCTCGGGCGGGGGGGTGTTGGGGATACAGATGTGACTGATACCCAGACCCTCGGGCGGGGGGGTGTTGAGGATACAGATGTGACTGGTACCCGGACCCTCGGGGGGAGAGTGGGAGTTGGGGATACAGATATGACTGATCCACGGCCTTGAGGAGCTCCTTGTGAATGTGTTGCCTGTGCTTTGGTCAAAAGCACTGGGAGCTGGGAGCTTAAATCCCTGCCTTCCCAGCTCATTGGACTCTGGTCTCTTCCTCTGTGAAATGAAGAAACTCGATGTCGTCTCCAAGGTCCCTTCTTGGTCTGGAAAACCATGTCAGCCCAGAGCTCCCTGAGGCCTTGGCTCAGGTCTTTGCTGGGCCTACATCACGGTCGACTTCTGGATCCTCCCTGCCCTCCCACAGGCGTTGATCCCAAGGCCTCTCCTGACACACATCTCACACCTTCTTCTCCATCTCAGGATCTGCTTCCCAAAGAGAAGAGGCACCTTAGCACCTTTTCATTTTTAATTACATTAGTGAGGCCAATGATGGTGAAAATTTATTACAGCATTACTTCCAATAGCCAAGTTTGGAAGCAGCTCAAGGGCCTAGAAATAGATGAGTAGATAAAAAAGCGGTGGTACATGTACACAATGGAGTACTATGCAGCTGTAAGAAAGAAAGATCTCTTACCCTTTGAGACGACATGGAGGGACCTGGAGAGTATTATGCTAAGTGAAATAGGCCAAACAGAGAAAGACAAGCACCACATGATCTCACTTATATGTGGACTCTAATCAACAAAATTAACTAACAAGCAAAATGGAGACAGATTCATAGATAGAGAGCAGGCTGCCAGCTGTTGGGTGTGGGGGGCAGAGTGGGGGAATGGGAGGATAGAGCAAAAAAGGAGAAAACACTCAGGGACCTGGACAACAGTGTGACCATTGCTGGTGGAGGGTGTGGGGGAGGAGGAGGGTGTAGGGGGGATAAATGGTGATGGGCGGAGACCTGACTTGGGACAGTGAACACACAATACAGTGTACAGATGATGTGTTATGGAATTGTGCACCTGAAACACCTGTGTAATTGTATTAACCAGTGTCACCCCAATAAATTCAATAAAAGAAAAAATTAATTCCTAGTCAGGGGCACATACCTGGGTTGCAGGTTCGATCCACAGCCCCCAGTGGGGCTCATGCAGAAAGCAACTGATCGATGTGTCTCTCTCACATAGATTTCTCTCTCTCTCTCTCTCTCTCTCTCTCTCTCTCTCTCTCTCCCTCTGCCCCGTCCCTTCTACTCTCTCTAAAAAAAAAATCAATGGAAAAAATATCCTCTGGAGAGGATTAACAAACAAACAAACAAAAAAAAAAAAGTAAGTATTGCAGAAAAAAATATATCAACTTTAAGAAAAAAGCTCTTGGGCCCAAAGTACAAGTTTCGCATTGCTTCGCATTGTGAACGCACCAACAAGATTGCGAGCACAGACATAATTAGAGCCTTAAAACCCCCATTTCTAACACTGCTATTTGTCACATAATAAGCTCAGACAAAGATTCTCTGTGTTGATGGAAATGCAAATAGAATCACCAATTTGGAACTTTTCTTCACAGAGAATTTGCTGTGCACCAGAATCTAAATGTGAGTCTTATTTTTAAAAGCTATTTTCGGCTCAGTTAGTTTCAAAGGTTCTTTTAAGCTTAAAAGTTAGAAGGGATTAAGAAGTCAGAAGAACCAAAAATGCTAACACCAACCTTCACGTAAACAGCAGGTAAAACCCGTCTGATGAGAGCCCTCCTCCCGAGCGGAGGACCACCGGCTCAGCGTCCCAAGGCCCTGAGGTCCTCACCTTGGTTTCCAGCTACACTTGCCCCAGCCGGGCGTCTCTTCCTCCAGGAAGTGATGTTCGTTAACCTCGGCATCTTATTCATTTGTGCTAAGCATGTCTACGGGTGACTAATGGAAATGCTGTGAGGGCCAAAATATGTTTAATAAATTAGATAATGTGGGAGTAATGGTTTCCTGAATCCAGAGACAGAAATGGAAGCGACTACCTGAAAATGTGATTGTGGGATGGGCACAGAGGTACAGATTGGTGCTTTAATGGTGTTAAACATTAGTTTAACTCTCAACGAGCCATGCGATTGCCTAGAGTGGACATGGAGGTAGTCATTGAATCCACTTCCCTGCAGGATGAGACAGTCCCTCCTGATGTTTCCTGACAGATGACCATCCGGCCTTTGCATCAGTGGCACTCTGGGCTGGGCTCCCAGCACCTCCTAAGACAGCACGCTGTGGTGAGACCGTCTCTAGTTACTTTAACAAAACATGTGTGGCTGCTCCACCAACCACGAAAGCTGCCAACACAAGAAACTCAGGCTCTGTGGGCTGTGGAACAAGACTGTAAACACATGCAAGGGAGGGAGACATCGCTTTTAGTCCTTGTATTTAGGGTGGACCATAGAAAGCAACAATATCTGACCATTTTTGAGCCACAAAGCAGGGATTTCGCATCGTTCAACGTACGCGTTGTTTGTGTGAAGTTAAATGAGAAAGGGCAAACATCTCTCGTTTCAGATAAAGCCTTGCTCGAGGTAAAGCGAAAGACAGGGTGAGTGGGCAAAGAAAGTGGAATATAAGCCCAAGTATTTGTTGAGAAAGAAAATAGAAAACAATCAACCTTTTCACTTTTTCCTGCAAATTTATCCTGGCTTCTTAAACAACAATGTCCATGAAAATCAGAAGCGAATTTCTCTCTCTCTTTGGATCGTAGTTGCAACTGTGAGCGCCATTAATTCTGCTCCAAGAACGATTTTCTGAGCACGTCATCTGTGCCAAGCATGGGAATAGTGGTAGATATGGAAGGATAGGATAAAAAATTATCCCTGGTGATCTCATGCGGGATAAAGCCACACAGGCAATTAAACTACATTCAAGAAAGTGCAATTGGCAGATTTATGCGTCGACTATTGTGGCAGCCCAAGGCTGGGACACATCCTGGGTGGCGAGGTCTGGTACAAACGTCAAAGAACTGGTAGGGATTTGCCAGCAGATGGAGGTCCTGCAGCGAAGGTGGAAGAGTCCTACAGGCTGAGTTTCATGGGTGCTGGACCTAACTGGGGGGAATGGGTTTGGGGAGCCCGTAGAAGACCCCAGCAGTTATGACTGTAACACTAGTTAGTCTCTGAGACAATAACGTAATTTCAAGTTCAAACAGAAGGCAGGAATAGCGACTCTACAGGAGTCTGAGTCCGTTTGAAACCGGGAGTTAGGAAGTGGGAAGGACGCATCTGGGGGAATGACCGTCAGCGGAGTCAACAGGAAAAGACAGGAACAAGGACCAGAGGGACCTATGTCACTGACTGTCCTTTTCCACAGCACCCTCACAGTGTGTTACTCATGCTAAATTCTTAATAAATCTTTGATGAACTGAATACATATTTTAATCGGTTAATTAAGAATTCATTAAGTACCTCGAGTTTCTCATAACTTTGCAGAAAGTTTTCTGTTTCTGAGGTCTGGCACCTTACTTCCATGCTGTGTCAACCCAAACATGCTAGATAATTCCCTCCTCGGATACTAATAACTTCGAATAATTTATTTACGGGTGCACCATCGTTTTGCTTAGGTGTGCACATGGAATGTCTTCATCCATGCCTCAGAAGTAAGTTCTAAAAATGTCTCTGTGTTGTTTTTACCATAAAACTTCCAAACTGCCGAAGTCCATTAGACAGCAGCCCGCCTGGACACAAGCAGGGATTTGCTTTGGAGGGTGGGGGATCAGTCACCAGATGCTCAGCCCTCAGCATCGAGGCCCAGCCCTGCAACGGGCACACTGGTGCACCAGGTCGCCTGCAAATTGTCCACCTCCTTACATAGCTCCAGTGTCGATACTGATTAGTTAATTGTCAATAATTCTGCTATTGAACATTTGAATATACAAAGTTCATATCCCCATAAAGGAATATTATTAATATAAAACGTCAGAATCCCTGAGACAGTTTTACTTTCCTCTGACATTCAACTACGCTTATGTATATAAAATCTCTGAATAGATGAAATCTTTGAACAGATAAAAACTCCTATCTATATAAGTCACACATTTCTGAAGTATATTCGATCTCAACTAAATGCATATGTGGCAGCAAAGAAAACTTACATTTTGAAAACTGATCAAAAAATAAATAAGAAACATTAAAATACTAGCTTTGCTTCCAAAGTTACCCAAGCTGTCTGAGGAAATTTTTAAAAGGTGCCATTACTGGTCTTTATATGTGAAATCATTATTGACAATTCTAACTGGTTGCTTCACAATTCTTTCTACTTGTGAAGTGCAGCCTCATTTGATAGTTCCCTATCAAGGCTCTTCCTCACAGCACAGCCTAAAACTGGCAACGTTGGATTAAGTAGGGACGAACATCAAGGATAATGATGTTTAAAAAGAAAAGAAAATACCCTTTTACAATCTGGCTAGAGATGGTCTCAGATGGAAACACCCTCCATCCACACGACAATCTTGCTTGGTCTATGCCAGCAACGATTCAGAAGTGCTGGGGCATTTATACCCCCCAAACCCCCACCGCAGGAGCAGCCATCGGCCAGAGGCGAGGGCTGTGTGCCACCATCCGGCCCATCACACCTTGGACAGTTACCCTGATGCGTGTGTTTTGCACGACAGAGCTTGCCCACTAGGAAACACTGTGGATTAGCTGCCTTCCCTCCCTGCGCCCCGACCAGCTGTCCCTCCTTCACCAAATCCACTGCCACACTCAGCTCTACATCAGGTTCTGCTTCTGGGAGACCTCAGATTAACACAGTGTTTTATGTCTGTGGCTCACAATTAATAGCTGCAATGAGCGTGGGACTCTCGGGAGGAAGAGAACAACCTGATATAACCAGACTCCAAAACACTGACTGGGTTTCTACTGGTTCCCACTCATGTCTCTGTGCGTGCCTGGCTTAACTTGGTGTGCTGCATGCTATCTGAAAAAACATCTATCTGTCTGTCTGTCTCTCTGTCTGTCTCTATCAATCTAAATTGGAGTCCATGGTGACGTTTACTTCTTCTAGAGAGGGCTTTCACTGGGTTTTGTGAGGCATGTATGGGTGGTATTCATCAAAGACTATCTTCAAGTTCAAAGTCCAGTTTGGGGGTCATTTATTATTCTTTTTTTTTTTTTTATCCTCACCCGAGGACATTTTTCCATTTTTTGTTCAGATAGAGCGGGAGGGAGAGAGAGGAAGAGACAGAGAGAGAAACTTTGACGTGAAGGGACACATCGAGTGGCTGCCACCCGCACGACCAACCAGGGCCGGGGACAAACTGCAACCGAGGTACATGCCCTTAGCGGGAACCGAACCCGGGTCTCTCTGTACCGCAGGCCGACGACGCTCCAACCGCTGCGCCAAACCGGCCAGGGCCCATTTATTATTCTTTTATTTTTTTTTCCTTTATTGATTTTAGAGAGAGGGAGAGAGAGAGAAACATCAATGAGAGAGAACGTCAATTGGCTGCCTCCTGCCTGCCCCCCCACTGGGGATCGGGCCCACAACCCGGGCATGTGTCCTGACTGGGAATTGAACCAATGACCTCTTGGTCCACAAGCTGACGCTCAACCACTAGCCACAGTGGCCAGGGGCCATTTAGACAGGCCAAGGCCTCCCAAGGATTGGCTGTCTTCTCATCCACCTCATTCCTAGGTCAAGATCCCTCAGGGTCATGCCCCAGCCTGGGGGAGGTTCACAGGACCCCTGCATGGCAGCCTCTGAAAGTTGGCTCTTCTCCTCTCCTCCTGTGCAGTTACCAAAAAGACGGTTTTTCCTCCAGGCCATTCCTTCTGGACCCATGGACAGTAATTGCTCACTATCTTAGTACGTATTGATATTACTGAGATGTTTTAAAAATACGTCGTCTATCTCCTTAAGTTTTCCTCATTGTGTTTGCTGTTCCGAATTACCTAGTTGGCAATTAGCCGATGAAGGAGATCTAGAGGTGTTATTTAAAATCATTAGATGAAAACAGATTGTGCAGGGCATGAGTATAAATAGAGAAGATAAGGGGTCCCAGAATTCAGGGACTAGACATGCTGACTTTCAGAAGCCTGGGTATGAGAAAGAACTAGCAAGAAAATATATATGTCTGTTTTAAGAGTTTTGCTGTAAAACAGATCAGGGCAATAAATAGAGGTGGGTGTTTTTATTTTGTTCTGCTTTAGGAAGGGAGATGATTCAGCGTGTTCTCCCATGGAAGACGCAGAAAAGGGAAATTCAATGAAGCAGGAAAAGAGGGAGCTGTCGGAGGGGCACAGTGGTCTTTCCAAGGCAAGTGGAAATAGGATCCCACACACACCCCTGCAGAATTTGGACGTATCAGTGACAGTTCTTTTATAGCATCAGGAAGGAAGGCTAAGCAAGGGAAGATATGACGGCTGAACTGTGTGGAAATTAATTTTAGATGCTTCTGGAAGTTTTAGGAATGAGAACTGATGTACTGAAAAATAGCAGATGTATTTGCCCCACTGGTGTGGCTCAGTGGACTGAGCGTCGTCCCATGGAATGAGAGGTCCTGGTCCCATTCCTGGTCAGGGCACATGCCCGAATTGTGGGTTCGATCTGATTGATGTTGAAGTTGATCTCTCATCAATGATTCTATCTCTCTCTCCCTCTCCCTGTCTCTCTCTCTCAAATCAACAAAAACATTTTAAAAAATCCTAGAAATATGAATGGAACAGGACAACCTAGCAGCCCTCACTACAGACCCACCTGAAATGATCAGTCAGAGACTAAAGGTGAATTTAGGATGGGCATCTGACAAGTATGTCTGAGTAGGAAGTACTGAGAAACAGATGTCCAACTAGTAAGGAGAAGGGAGTCTGAGACTGTGTTTTAGAATCATGGTCTGTAATATTGACCTTCATGTGTGACCTTCACCTCTGCGCTCATTGGAGCAGAATGGAGCAATATGTTCATCAACTGAAGCTGTAACTATATTTTGCTGTTCGGTTCACATGGCAACTCCTGTAGTCTCGGTTAATTATTCTGAAAGAACACCCAGAGGACATCGTGAAGCAGATTCTTGGGGTGTTCCTGTAACCTGTCAGCGGAGAATCTGGACGGGAGTTTGACGTAACAGCTTGATGAAGCTCCTGGGTGAATACAAACTTTCCGTTAAATCTTCAGTCCGCCTGTGATGAGGTCAGGCGCCCACCACCCCCGCCGCTGATGGTAAGACTGTCTACGGATCTGTAACTTAGTCTGACCTCCCACTTACGAAAACATACAGAAGGCCGAGCATAAACTCTAAGAAACTGTGATGGGGGGATGTTCCCACTCCAATGGGAACTAACACCGTACGTAAGGCACCTGTAAATATGTAGCAGCTATAGAGAAAAAACCACACACATAAAAACCCCCACAAAATTTTGAGGGACATAAAATAAGAGTAATACGTGGGAAAACATACAGTATTGGGTATACAATGTTTATACCTTTCAGGTGTATTCAACACGAAAAATCTACAGATATAAACACAAAGAGGATCGTGGCCACGATGCAGAAACAGTGGCCGCGCAGGCCAGGCGTGCTGGTCCGTCGCCTGGCAGCCTGCACGGTACACGCAGCCTGCATGGTACACGCAGCGTGTCTTCAGTTCCTCTTAGGAGTAGCAGCTGCCATTTCATCTTTGGCTTTTCAGTTAGTATAGAAGTTTCCAAAAACAAACAACAGCAACAACAATAACAGAACCCTGCTGATCGTAGTGTTATACAAATGTCTGTATCAAAGTAAAGTAATGATGTTCTCTCTTCCATTTCCCTATAGCATGTTGTAATTAGCATGCATTTCCTTAATTTGTTGCAGTCACCAAGGACAATGCGATTCTTACATTTGTGTTTTGTTGTTTGTTTGTTTGGTTTTTTTTTGCTTGACAACAAATTGCATTTGCCATTTTATTGTCTCAGAGTAAAAATATATAAATGAGTACCCATAATCGATCTGTTCAAAACGGGCTATGGAAAATGAAGGATTATTAAATCATCACGGAAACCTCATTGGCTCACTAAATGTCCACTCCTGGTGGCAGTCACACCTGACCTGTGCTACGTTTCCTCTTCACAAAGCAGAACCCGTTTTAACTGGCTTGTCTCTTCTTCCCCTTTGAGCCCGAGTGACTCGGGCAGAGCTGCCCCCACCCTGGCTCATGGCACGAGATAATAGCAACCAAAGATAAAACAAGAGAAACCACACCAAGTGGCACCGTCGCTTCGGCCAGAGATTGGGTCAGTGGTCCAGGGCTCAGCTAGAGGCTCGGGCTCTTCAGCTCACCTGGCTTGACCAATCGGAGGAACTTATTCCATGGTTGCTAGGAGAGGTCTGTCTGTCTCTTTCTCTGATTCATAGCAAAAGTGCATCCACACCACCCCTCACCCAAAAATGTCAGCAAAAAGGAATTTTAGTTAAAATAATATCTTGTCCATATAAAAATATATGAAAGATAGTAGCAGTGTTTACTGAGTGCTCACTACGCTATGAGTTTTATGTGTGTTATCTTTCTTAAGCGTTAACTAGGTCAGAGAGGCCCAGAAGGGTTCATCATTCACCCACAGCCCCAGACCTGGTAAGCTCGATATTTAAACACATGCCACCCCTCCATGCTATGGGCGAGGGAAGTTCTGATCACCAGGCAAGACGTGCTCGAAGGACCACGTGTTGACAAGCCGGCGCCCACCCGCATGGCGTGCAGAGGTGGGGAAGGCTGGCAGGACGGGTCTCCGGGGCCCCAGCGCATCCTAGTCCGGCTCCCTGTGCTCAGGTCTTTGTTCTCGTGCCTGCGCGGCTGTGACTAGATTTCCCGGCTTTCTCGGGCCAGAGAACCTTGATCAGAAGTCACACTGGGCCCTGACAGGTCCAGTACCTGCAGGAACCAGCCTGCGCAGACTTGAACCTGGCCCGCATGGCATCGCCTACCTTGGGCATGCAGATGACCAGATGCCCTGTCGTCTGCGATCTCCGGGCAGAGCTGCTGTCAGGCCGGACCTCTGCCGGGAGGGCGAGCTGGAAGGGCTGGACAAGCGCAGGAAGTGTCACGAGAGCACGTGTCTCTTACGTGAGACAGCGGTTACTTCAACAGGTGTTTTCATTACACATGTAAGATTCCACATTCAATGTTTAAAAACGTGCTAAGACTTACTAGGAAAAAAATGATATATGGACTATGCTTGATATGCATGAACTATTTTACCTATTTTAATGAATAGGCTAAAAAACAGTCATCAATCACAAACAATAAAACACTCATTGACCCATTTATGTTAATGTGGCTGACAAAGAGTTTGTAGGTGACAATTACTGTCATAAAACATCAACATATTTCCATTTTTAAGCCTTCAAGTTACCTCAGATGAATAATCAGAATTAGCAAAGACTACTATTTCAAAAATAATGAGATTACAGCTGCTATGAAAGAAAGCTGTGACAATTTCAATTTAAAATAGGCATATTATTGCCCTGGCCAGGCTGGCTCAGCAGTTAAAGTGTCGGTCCTTAGACCAAAGGGTCTCAGGTTCAATTCCAGTCTAGGGCACGTAACTGGGTTGCAGGTTCAATCCCCAGCCCATCACGGTTGTGTGGGAGGTAACCAATTGATGTGTTTCTCTCTCTCTCTCTCCATCCCTCCCTCCTTCCCACTCTTTCTAAAAATCAATGAAAAACTATCCCCGGGTGAAGATTAAAAAAAATAATAATAAGTAAAATAAAATAGGTATATTATTTAAATATAATTTCAAGCATAGCCTATGACGTACATAAAAGTCAGCCTTGGACAAAGTACCAACGCAACAGTCACAGGTGAAAAATATTAACTTTATCGAGCGACACGGTGGTCAACTCCTGCTGGACACCACTCCCACAGCATAAAGTCATGTGCCTAAAAGTGGCCCTCTGATTGGGTTTCTCCTTTTCCATTTTAATATTACTTTAAAAAATGTGCAGGCAGCCTAGCTGAGTCCAAGGGTTGGCTTTCGAAACTGCAGCAGTGGGTGGGGTCGTACTTACCTTTCCCTTGACCATCACTCGCACGTAAGTCGGCTGCACATCGACGTGGATCAGAGAGGTGTCCATATACCTTGCAAATTCAACACATCAAACATACTCAATCTTGTGATTTTCCCCAAACATAGAGTTTGCAAAGGAATTCACAGATACAAACCCACGCTTATGGGACCGTTTTAAATGGAGAGCGTTTAAAATTTCCAAGCTGAACAGGTCTTACAAAATTAGCTTCGAGTTAATCCTCGGACCCAAGGCAATTCAATATGTCAGCAATTTCATTTTTAGATCCATAAGTACACTTGACATTGACTGCCCCTAACCCAAAAGTATCAGGGGCCTGAAATATCACAAGTTTGCAAAAAACAGCTTGCCCTGTTCTTTCATGAATATTTTATTCTAAGCCCCTCAGACCGACTTGAATAGCCAGGGACGCGGAAGGCGCTCTGCCTGGGGCCTGCCACCTACTGCTCTCCGCCCTGGCGCTGTGCCACAGTGCCTGACACCATCTCCCCGCCGGCTTGGCTTCTCCCCGAAGCCACAGCCTGCTGCGTGAGCAAAGCCCCCCTGGAGGCACAGCCTGCTGCGTGAGCAAAGCCTCCGTCTACGGCAGTGACCCCAGCTGGGGTCAGGTGGCAACTGTTCCCAACTCTCTGAACAAATGAAAGATGTAGATTTCACCTCGCTCCTTTAGCCAAATCACTATTTTTATACTTTTCAAAATACTGATTGTGAATAGAAAATGCTGTGGCGACTCAGGCAGGCAGGAACACGGGGGTTACAGGCACAGGCTGAGGCCACACAGACCTGTGAGGGAGGGGCCGCGCCGCCAGGGACCACGCCCCTTAGCCTCTCCAACCACAGCCTCCTCCTGTAAAGTGAGGGTGATGAATCGTGCCTCTTCCCTAAGGTCACCGTGAAGACACGGGCACGGTGTCTAGTACATCGTTGTGTTTGCAAAGCATCCTTTTATTTCATGAAAACCATAATAAAAAGTAGAGGCAAGGTCTCCTGAAACTTCAAGTTCGCTACCTGCCACATGCCTGGGTGACATATGTGTTGTCATGCTCGGGCCCCTGAGGTGTGCTCACCTGCCCGGCCACAGGAGGTGCGCACACCTGCTTCTCTGCCTCAGACAAGCTCCTGGCTCTGTGCAGACCTCGCTGCTTCCGTCCTGGGAACGTCAGTGCTCGTATCGCTGACTCTCCCGACGCTGCCCCCAGCACCAGGCTGCACACACCCTCCTTCTCCGTCCTGAACTCTGCCCCTCTCTTGTGGGCACTCTTCTCCCTTTGTGATGGCCTGCGTGCCTTCCTGCTGACCGACCGTCTGCCCTGACTGTATTGAGAACAGGCCAGTTCCAGGCTGGCGCATGGTGGGTGTTCTGTAGATACCTGCTGAATAAGGGCAGCCAGCAGACGCGAATGAATGAACCCCACTTTCACGCCAGTGGAGGTAACAAGGCCTTTCAGTGTGACTGGGTGGATGGAACCACGGGAATGGAAGGATTTTACTACCGAGACAGGAGAATGATCACTAGTCTTTGAAAATGTACACGCGCGGGGATGAGGGCAGTTTTCCTCTGAAGACTGAAGGTGACGCAGTTGACAGGGCTAAAAGGAGAGATTACACATTCCTCAAACTCCAGGAGTAAGGCCTAAACACAGAACGGCCCCCAAAAAGATGGAACAGAGAACGTGCAACTGAAAACCCCCGAAAGGGCAGCTTGGGGAGCTGGAGGAACAGAGGACATGAAGTTAGTGGGGGAAGAGCTGGGCTCTTTCAAGGCAGGTGACCAGGCACGGGGGCAGGACTGACAGGCAGGTGTGTGGCAGAGGCAGTCGTTGTGCGAGGAAGGGATCACACTAAGAGCTGACCCCTATTCACCACAGCCAAGGGGGAAGCAACCCAAATGCCCACCAGTTGGTGAGTGGATGACCAAACAGTGGTATATCTATACAGTGGAATATTATTCAGCCATAAAAAGGGAGGAAATTCTGAAGATGCGACATCATAGATGAGCCCTAAAGATACTAAGTGAACGAAGCCAGACACAAAGTCCACATGTGCCTCAATGCGTAGGAAACATCCGGAAATGGCCAATCTACCCAGACAGAGAGCAGATTAGGGTGTCAAAGGAAAGGGGAAGTGGGGAGTGACTGCCTAACGTCAGGGTGATGAATGTTGTCTGGAAGTAGACAGTGGTAAGGGTCTCACAACATTGGGAATTTATTCAACTTCACTGAGTTGGATACGTGAAATGGTTGAAATGATGAGTTTTAAGTTATGTGGTTTCACCCTCTGAAAATCCATCCCCTCCTGGGCAATTGCAGGATAATGGTCTCTCTTACTCACTGGGTCTTGAGAGAGAGAATAAAATAGAGCATGTGAAACTGCCCTTAAAAAGAGCAAGGTCTTTATTATAATTCATGCATATTAATGTTCATTGACTCCCATCATCAGTATTCATTCATTCATTCCTGTACTTACTGAGTTCCCACCAGGTGCCTAGAAATATAAGGGAGGAAGAAACAACCAAAACAAAGTTCTTGCCTTGACCATAAATTTTTTAAAATGCAACTAAGTTTGGCAGGTAGAAATGACAAAGCAGGGGGCGGGGGGAGAATAGAAGGAAATGCTGGAAGAGGAGCAGGTACTGTTTTATATCAAACCAAGTTTCATTTCAAAATGTTCCACAACTCAAGACACTGCAGCTGAGAATGAAAACAGATAAAAATGCCAGTAAACAAACACATAAGAAAATGTCTTTACCTGTACACAGCCAGGTCCAGGATGATCTGGTGTCGGTTTTCGTCGTCTTTCAGAGAGAAGTCAAGTCTAAGGAACAATCCATTTGGGGGGGGCGGGGGGGAGATGATGCCTTTAGCAATACTTAGTAGACAGCCTCATCCCATTACCAGAAGTAAATGTCATAGCAATGATATAATTTCCAATGACAAACTTCTTGGGGTAGCTGAACAATAAAACGTCTGTTCACGTAAAAATGTCAACAGAAACCTATCACATGTTCATAAATTATTTGTTTGCCGTGTTTAAACGTGAGACTCTGAAGGTAAAGGACATACCCAAACCACGGGCATTGGTGAAGAGACAGAGACACCTGGCGGTTCGAGTGTTCTTTTCCACCGTAGGGGCATTTGCTGGGAGCAAACTAAAACACTGAAATATGTACGGAGGACTAAAGGCTCATCCGTTACCCCTAACGCAACATTCAAGTCCTTACGTGTTACAGTCTCACCTCCTTTCCCTTGCCATCATTTTTCTTCTCCTTTCATCGCTGACCTTTCCATCACCCAGGGAAATGCTGAGACCCTACCCTTATTTATCAGCTCCATTGTACAAGCAAAGAGACAGAGGCTCGGAGGAGCGGACACCGCTGGGAAGGAGGCCACAGGAGCCCCAAGAGGCAGGGCGTTATAGCCCCGTGCCTTCCAACCAGACCCTGAGGCTGTCCTAGGTGTAACTTTCATACTGTTCACAATTTCTTGGCCAATTTTATTGTGAGTACTTCACTTATCTCAGTCTGTGAAATACATAACCCGACACCATTAAAAACCATAAGCTAAATTGTTTGGGGAAATGTAGTATTAGCCACAGATGTGGCTTTCAGCAGTAGGCCTGTTTGTGACAGTCACTTTCCTTGATTTCAACCATCCAGCTGGGTGGGACTTCAGTTGCTCAAATGACCTATTTTTTGTTTTAATCTCAACCCAGGAGCTTTTGTAGGTGCTGGTCCCTCTGCCTTGATTGTTACTCCTCGATTTTCCAGCCAGCCAACATAAACTCTCCCTTCATTCATCACTTGAAAGGTAATTTAAGAGAGGTTTTCTATGGCAGAGATTGCTATCATTCCCCATTATCTGCTCCCACTTTCTCACTAGAAATAGGGCCCCTGGTTTGTTTGTTTGTTTTTTAAGTGTTTTTGTTGATTTTTTTAGAGAGAGATATAGAAACATCAATGTGAGAAACACCAATCGGCTGCCTTCTGCACGCCCCCTACTGGAGATTGAGCCTGCAACCCAAGCATGTGCCCTGACCAGAAATCGAACTGGGACCTCTCAGTTCATGGGATGATGCTCCATCCACTGAGCCACTCTGGCTGGGCAGGACCCCTGATTTTAAGTAGAAATGGCTCTGCAGAATAAAGACTACATTTTCCAGCCTCCCTTGCAGCTAGATGAGGTCATGTGATTTAGTTCTGTGAAGGAGACTGTTGCATGGCACTTTCAGGGAGTTTTCCTAGAGAAGCAGTGTGTGCCCTTCCCTTCCTTCCTCCTTTATTCAGCTGCGTGGAAGAGATTACAGGAGGCCAAGAGAGGAACCAGGGAGACTACTTAACAAGCTGTTACAATTGTCCAGATTTTGTTGACAAAGCATAAGCTCTAGAGCGCACAGTGGATGGGGGTACAGGAGGAAGAAGAGAATAAAATGAATTAGAAGGTACACAAAGCCATGTGGGAATAAGATTCTGGATGATGACAGTTGGTCCAAGAGGGCTGGGGTGGGTGACCACAGAGTGATAGAAGTAGGTGGTAGTAGCAGAGGTGATGGGTAACCAGGTCTTCATAGCATCCCCTAAATAGGATTAGGGGCAGGTAAAGTGGTCAGTGTGGTAAGAGGACTGGTGGTTCTCTAGGGGCACAGAGAGCTCTGGGGGTCTCCTAAGTCCTGTTGTAGTTGAAGAGAGACGTCTACCCTCTAGATTTTTAACCTCCATGAAGGCAGGAACCTGTCGTGGTCAGTGCTGAATCGCCAGTGCCCGGCATCATGCCTTAGGCTGCATTCATGCCTGCTGGGTAAAGACTGTATGTATGCGTGTGCGGGGGGAGGGTTGCAAACTAGGTCATGGCCATCACTAGAACTGGGTTAGCATGAGCAAGCCAGACACACCACCTATGAGCCATGTGACCTTCCACCTCTCGCAGGCTCAGGTTTAGGATCTATGAAACAGAAATACAACCTATCACAGGGTTGGCATAAACACGCAATGCGGCCTGGCGGGTGTGGCTCGGTTGAGAGTCGTCCCGTGAGAGGTTGCCTGTTTGATTCCCAGTCAGGGCACATGCCCAAATTTCAGGCTTGATCCTCAGTAGGGGTTGTGCAGGAGGCAGCCAAGCAATGGTTCTCTCTCATAGGTGTTTCTCTCCCTTTCCCTTTCTCTCTCTCTCAAATCGATAAAAACTTATTTTCAAAATGGTGAAATGGCCCTGATCGGTTTGGCTCAGCGGTTACAGCATCAGCCTGCGGACCGAGGAGTTGAGGATTTGATTCTCAGTCAAAGGCGTGTGCCTGGGTTACAGGTTGGATCCCCAGCGCCAGTTGGGGTTTTGCGGGAGGCAACCAATCGATGTCTCTCTCTCACATCGATGTTTCTCTCTCCCTCCCTCCCTCCCTTCCAGTCTATGTAAAAATCAATGGAAAAATATCCTCAGGTGAGGATTAACAACAACAAAAAGATGGAATGAATAATGTGGCAGGATGGTACCTTTATCACCGTAATGGCATAGCTAACACAATGATTCAAGTAAATAGACTTTGAATAATAAAAAGAAGTGAAAAAGATTTCGACCATAGGCTTTTTGGTCTGTATTTGGGCTACAAAGGCCTTTATAGCCTGCTTTCTAATTTTAAATTTTAAGACATCCAGAGGGGGTAGATCAGATATTATTATACTTCAGGATTTCCAGTTTGAATATTTTTCGTCTCTCACTAACTTCACGGAGATATTTATATCTACTTTTTCCCATTGCTCTCGAATGCTTTGAGGACGTGTTCCAGGGGATAAAGTAGATGGATAGGAGAGGTATCAATGTTCTCAGCCAGCCTGTTCATGGCAGAGTTTTAAAAATTAATACAACAGTGATGTACTGGCAATTTGCAGGCATAAAATGGAGGATGGTCCAAAGTTTCAGGGGACGCAGAAATAACGAGGATTTCCGTATGTCAAGATAATTTTCTGGATACCAAGAAAATACAATATGACATTATGCACTTGAGAACATAATGGATGTTTTGCTTTCATATGTGCACAAATGTCATTCTTATAAGTGTGTTCTCTGCAGAGCAAACCTGACATTGCAATGACCAACACCTCAAATGTTGCTGCTTCTAGTCGCTAGGTGGTCTCACATACTTGGGCTCATTTACGTTGAGGGCTCTCCCATCTTCAGTGATCAACGTCCTGGGTGGTTTCACTTTCTTCTTTTTTTCACTTAAGATTGGGGGTGGGTGGGAACAAGGGGCAAAGGGAAGAGGGGAAAATAAACAAAAAGAATATAAAAATTATTGCTTTATTTGAGAAACAGTTTAAGAAAAATGAATCAGGTATCTGTGACTACATCAACACTTTACTATTAGGAAGTCCATTCTACGCTGGAAATTGACCATGAAGCCCGATTGCTGTTCGGTTGTATCTATGTCTGTAAAGCAAAAATGTGAGCAAGACAATTTGCCAGGTAATTTAATGGGGAGGAAAAGCCCTTTTCATGAAATATCCATTAGTATTTAAATAAGTCTATTTCATGCATGATTTACCCAGATCACTGTCAGTACTTCCTTTGTGTATGCAGCTTCTGCTTTCGTTAAAACCCAATTTTGAAAGCCAAGAAGAATCTGTTCTGTAGAAATGAAGACACCGTCCACGAGGACCGGGTAGGGGTGTGCTCACCGCACTGTCTGCGGGCACCCTTCACCTGCTGATCTACAGATGATAGAAAAGCGTTGATGGTGTATTTGCTGAGAACAAACAGATAACGCAGAAGTCCGGTTTTCTTTTTCAAGGAAGACCCGAGTCCTCCGTTTGCAGAAATGATTCCTACAGTTGCAGAGGGCGAAGGAAGCTCTGGCGGGCTGGACCCAAGCCTGTAGCCCGCAGTATGTTGAGAGGGCAAGGATGGGGGGTAAGAGATGGAGCAAAGAGGAAAGAGTTCACGGAAAACATGAAAGAAGTGCAGGGTGTGAGTTCTATGCATTTCAAACATGGCTGAAAATATTTCAAACTGAAATAGGCATGTATCGAGAAGACGGATGAATCTGTTTGGATGACAGAATCATAGGCAAGTCTTTGCCCTGGATTGCTAGTGTTCTTTTTTTTTAATCGTTTAACTACAGTTGACCTTCAGTATTATTTTATATTAGATTCAGGTGTTCAGCACAGAAGTCAGACAATCATATATTTTACAAAGTGTTCTCCCCGATATTTCTGGTACCCATCTGGTTATTACGGTATTATTGACTATATTCCCTATTGTTCTTTTAGTATTGATTTTACGTTGGTTAACTTTATTTTGAAATATAAATGTATTCACATTTTTCTTGCTCCTAAACTGGGCCGCCAGGTCCAAAGAGTTAATGTTCTCACGAACGGCACTGTTCTCTGTGACCCAGGACAGTTAGGCGGCGTCCAGAAGACGCGACCATCTCGGGCACCCACGGGTTTGGGCAGAACATAGCGCCCTGAACAGGGCGCCTGAGCTTTACCCATGTCAGCCGCAATTTGCCCTGGCCAGTTTGCTCAGTGGTTAGAGCACTGGGCTGGGGACCAGAGGGTCTTGGGTTCAATTCCTGGTCAAGGGCATGTACCTGGGTTGTAAGTTCAATCCCCAACTCTGGTTGGGGTTGTGTAGGAGGCAACCAATCAATGTGTCTCTCTCACATCGATGTTTCTCTCTCTCCCGCCCTCCCTCCCTCCCACTCTATCTGAAAATCAATGGGAATACATCCTCCACTGAAGATTAACAACAAAATTTTTTTTTTAATTTATATAAACATGTACACATACATAAATATATTGTACATATATGTGGGTGCATATACATCAGAAATATAGTACTTATTAAATAAACATGTAGAATTTCCATTTCAAAGACTTCTTGAAACTACAAAGCATGTTCACATTCATTGGCCCATCAGATTGCCTCAGCTAAGGCACGTGTACCAGTCCCCGTGTACCTGCCCTCATGTACCAGTCCCCGTTTACCTGGTGAGGGAACGGATGAGGAGAAGTTACACAGAGTGAATAGAGAGCTGCGATACAAATCTGTTGTTATCCCATGTTCTCCCCAAAGCACGGAGTGGCCACTCAGTGTACAAATCGCCAAATTGTATAACTATTTGAGACAAAATTTGGTTCTTGTTTTTGTACCTAACTATCTAATTCTTAAAGAAAATGTTATGAGAGCAGCAGAGATTTCTAATTGTTTTGCTACTCTTTTGGTTTCTTACTATATTTCAGAGCTACTTGATCACGTTCCTGAGCTCATGAATTAGACCTGTGTCCACAGTGATACACTTTACACACTAGACTTAAGCAGTGACATGAAATGGAATGACGCAGAGCCTATCTTTTAAAAAAGCTACTCTGGCCCGGCTGGTGTGGCTCAGAGACTGAGCATCAACCCAGGCACCAAAAGGTCGCCAGTTCGATTCCCGGTCAGGGCACATGCCTAGGTTGTGGGCCTGATCCCCAGTGGGGGGCATGCAGGAGGCAGCCAATCGATGTTCTCTGTCATCGATGTTTCTATTTCTCTCTCCCTTCCTTTCTCTCTCTAATATCAATAAAGAAAAAAACTTTCTTAAAGCTACTCTGAAAATAATAGCTTATACATTCTAGCTTCTAACAAATGATACCTAAATAACTTGAAAGTGAAAGCATACTGTTGAATATCCAGGAGAGTTGTATTAAGAAAATATGACGCCTAAAGAAACTAATTTCTAATTATCGATTTTGCAAATTAGAAGACACAAAGGGCCCTGGTCAGTTTGGCTCAGCAGTTAGAGCATCAGCCTGCGGTCCAGAGAGAAGACACAAAGGAACTCATTCAGGCCACAAAGTGGCCTTTTTCTTGGTACCATGATGACTACTACTGCTAGCCCAGGCCCTACTATCACTCGATCCGTTTAATGTGGTTACCAAACTAAAGGCGTATAGACAGAACCCTACCTAAGATGCCACAATTCAGGATATTCTAAAGGAGGGCATTTCGTATGAATACATGTCAGTGGATACAATTCAACAAAAAGCTGGACTTCAAGAAAGCACAGTGGAACACAGCCAGTGAGGACAGTAAGGAGCACAGAGTCCAGAGAGAGCATTACCTCCCTCTCAAGACGGGCGCAATGGAATACCTTAACTTCTCCTGGTCTCTTCGTTGTTTCTCCATATGCCTCAGAGTCTCCAATCTAGACTCAGGAGTAAACAAAGAGGGTTTATTCCAGAATTCCAGGTCATCTTCGCCGTCCTCTGGTTTCCTGTGGTTACGTTCCCCTCCTTGTATGTCGGGCGCCTGCGGGTGGTCTTTGCTCTCTGCAGAAGGTGGGCTGGGAGAGGACAGACAGACACAGAGCACGGAAGAGGGGCTTGTGAGTTTCATCCTTAATGCTGCTCCTTAAACATCTCACACGTTTTCCTCGTGTTACCTTCTTCCCTTGACAGAATGTGTCTGCCAAGAGCTTCTGTGAGCCAGCGGGAGGGAGCACAGCCACGGCCGGGCAGGCCCTGCCGGCCACCACCAGGAGCAATGCCGCAGGACTCAGTCCAGGGATCGCACACCGGGCTGGTGCGAGCCGCCTGGGAGCTTTATAAAACACACAGATTTCTGGGCTCCTGCAAGAGTCTAATTCGGTAGATTTGGGGTGAGGCCCAGGAATCGGTGTTTTATAATGTTTTGCAGGAGGTTCTGATGATCAGACAAACTCAGGGACGACTGTGCCTTACCAATCACCCGATCTCCAGTCTTGTACCCCTCAACCCTACCCTCCACACTGCCCCAGAGCATCGAACAGGAAAGTTCGATCATATTACTTCCAGGTTCTCTAGCTCCCAAATCCTCTAGGGCAGCAGTTCTCAACCTGTGGGTCGCGACCCCTTTGGGGGTCGAATGACCCTTTCACAGGGGTTGCCTAAGACCATCGGAAAACATATTTCTCCGTCCATCTCCAGGCAGGTCCGCCCACGTGCAGATGCGCCCACACACGACTTGAGGAATGTATTAAAGGGTCGCAGCGTCAGGAAGGTGGAGAACCACTGCTCTAGTGGGACATATGAGATCCTCCATGGCACGGCCTCGGACTGCTCTATTTCCCACGGATAACATCTGAGTTCAGCTTTATATGGTAACAGCGCTGTGTTCTCCGTTTACTCGTGTTTTGTGGCAAATTGAATGATGTCTCTACATGGCATCAGATGGGTATTTTGTGAGATAATCAACATTGATTCAAGAAATATTTACTGAGCATCTTCTGTGCGCCAGGCACCAGAGACGCAACCCTAGTCGAGACCCACAACGCCACTACCTTTGGGCGACTGTATTCTGTTGGAGAGGAAATGACCCGTCAAACAGGAAACAGGGAACAGCCTCCCTCCCCCCCCTTCGCTCTTGAATACATCCTCTGTTGCCAAGTAACATTAAGTGAAAAAATCCACCGGAAGCCTTTAGCACCAAGTATGGCAAATAGTAAATACTCATTAAATGTTCGACTTTGTTGTTTTGTGACTGAAATGAGATGACACAAAGGATCATTTCATTGACCTTTAAATAAGGTGCTTTTTGAAGGGATAAAAATACTAGCACATGAAGTTTAAATAGTATAAACAGAACATAGAGTAAAATTATGCTTAGATTCCTTATTTATTACAAAGTCCAACTAGACAGTCTAATAAGCTACATAATGCAAATTATTGAAAATAAGTGCTTTGCTATAGAGCTATAGTTCTTTATGGTATGAAAACAACCTGTTTAGGAGATCTAATATTCTACAATATTCTAGCTAATTGTAACTGAAATAATTGGCTCCAATCTCATTTAAAAGAATTTGTTTTTGCTAGTAAGTGACTAAGTGGTTTATTTTTACCTTTTACAATCTAAAAAAATAATTTAAAACACATAAAAATAATTGTACTTAAGAACTATAGAAATATCAGCTAAATAACATAATTCTCCAAAGGCAACATGCATGTAGATGCAGGTAGCTGGCTGGTGAAACAGACTTGAGCTCATTAGGAAATGAACAGAGAATCTGCCCTCCGACCACCTCCCCCGGATCCGCCGTCTCGGGGCTCTCTTCCCACTCGTGAGCGCCCCATGCTCGCTTCAAGAGCAGTCTCATCTCAGCTCACTCACTTCCAGGTATTAAGAGGTCTACCGTTTAAACAAAACTACGTCCAAATCGAAGCCTTTTCCCTCCCTCTCCAGATCCTTCTCCCCTTGCCCAGCTCACGGCTGGGCTGTGCCCGGGAAGAGGGACACGCACCCCACCTCGCTGGGCCTCTCCGGTCTCCTCCTGACTTCGGAAATTGAGGCCCAGGAGGAGGGCTGGGGAGAAGAGGCAAACGTTTCTTGTGAGAACGATGCTGCGACACCTGGGCTGTTGGTCTGTCTCGGGCTGATACCCGGTCACTGGCTTTCTCTTGTGAGCACGGCTGTTGGTTCTTGGAGACGGGACAAGAGCCTCCTGGAACAGCTTCCGGCCAGCGTGACCCACATCCTACCTGGCTGGTCCTTTGTGACGATCCCTGAGCCCTGCCACCGACAATCCACCCCACTCTCTCAGGCAGCACCCTCCCAGGTGGCTCGTGCAGCTCCTGCCGATGCTCCAGTGCGAGCGCTTCCCTCTCGCCCTTCGTCCTGACCCTTCTGCTCCAGGCTAGTCCAGGCCACGCCCGCCCTTCCCGCTCTCCAGGTCAGAAGCAGGCTCTGTCTAGTCAAGAGATGAAATGCTCATCCCGCCTTGAGCAGCCCCCCCATCTCTACGGGGTTTCCTCTTGACGGAATAGCCGCCTACTCCTCCCCGGTGATGCCAGTGACTCTTTATGTCAGCACGAGCCTCCTCCAGAGTGCCCAGGGTTCCGAAAGGGGTGATGGCTGAGGGACAGCCAGTCTTGGGGGGGCAGGGAAGCAAGTGGGCACCTGTGAGAAACCCAGCTGCACGCTGCTACGGAAACGCACGGAGGGGTCACTGTAAACTTCTGTAAACTTTCGTAAACCAAGAACGGAAAGTGATCCCAACGCAGTTCATGTGTCTGTTATAACTTTGATGCAAAACACCAGGGAAAATGCGATCGAAAGGGGCTAGTACAGCATAAACTCATTTGCGAACGTGGGTTAAATAGTATTTAAAATATTAGCAAAACGGATGCAGCAGAGCATTCGAAATACATCCTGGACAAAGTGAGCATATTCTAGAAGTTCAGGGATGTTCTTATATTGGAAAATCTATTAATACGGTTCAACACAATTATCTCAATAGATGCAGAAAAAACATTTAATAAAATCCCAGTAATCGCAATGACAAGAGCTCTTCACCAGCTCTCAGTAGACGTGAACTACGTGGGCTCTACCCAAACCCCCGCGGGCACAACAGGCAGTGGTGAACTGGAAGCGTTCTTCTTACAGTCCGGAGCAGGTGGACACCACGGCCGCGAGCCCGCCCCGTTCCGGAGGCTCAGCGAGCACAAGGAAGAACATATAACGTAGAGGTAGAAACGCCAGAGAAAAATTTTAGTTGCTGTTTTTCTACCTAGAAAAGACAGGATAATCTACAGACTAACTATTGCATCTATTTATTTTTTAATCCTCTCCCGAGGATATTTTTCCATTGCTCTTTAGATAGAGTAGAAGGGAGAGAGAGGGAGAGAGAGAAACATCGGTGTGAGAGAAACACATCGATTGGCTGCCTCCTGCACAATCCCCTCAGGGGCCAGGGATCAAACCTGCAACCCAGGTACGCACCCTTGACCGGGTATCGAACCCAGGACACTCTAACTGCTGAGCCAAACCCAACAGGGCAAACAACTGCATCTTTTTTAAAAGTTCAGCAAGATTGTTTAATACACCAGTATACAGAGATCATTCATCTCTTTATACATCAGCACGAACCAATTACAAGTCTATTTTTAAAATGCCATTCTACAAGACACTTAGAACTAAATCTAATAAAAGATGGTGTGAGACCTTTATCAAGGAATTACAAAGCCTTGCTGAAGGACTCAGAAGAAGGTCTAAATAAATAGAGACAGCTGCTCTAACAAGTTCGGCATGAAAAGAACTGATGTCATAGAGATATCAACTTTCCCCTAATTAACATATAAATTAAATGCGATTTCAATCAAAATTACACTGGAGATTTGGGGGGATTTGAATAGGAGATTCTAAGATTCTCAGACAAGAGCAGAAAACCAGGAAGAGCCAAGATAATTTTGAAAAATGAGAACCTCTTACCAAATATCAAGATTTGCCGAATGCGCTAGGAGTGAGACCACGTGCCAATGCTCCCAAGGAGCCATCTCGGGAGCCGCAGTGGACCCACGGTACCTGAGCAGAGGGTGGACGGGAGGGTGCTGGTGCAGGTCAGCGGGAGACCGACAGCACCTCAGCACCTGGCGCAGAGACGAAAGCCCCACACAGGAAATGTCCAGTGCCCTGTCCTACGCTGCAGTCAGCCGTGGACTCCAGGTGGCCGGCTGGGACCCTGGGGCAGTGAGAAACTTCACAAAGCAGACCGAAGAGTACAAAAGAAGTTCCACTGCATGACCGTTTTTGAATTCCATAAAGCAGAGGCACTTGTTAAGACTAAGGAGAAGTCACGGCTTGGGAAAAGATATTTACAAAGCATATAACCACCAAGGAAGCTGCATTCAGAATGTAGCACTGTGAGTCAATAAGGGAAAAAAATACCTTACAGCTTATTTAAAATAGGCAGGGGACCTGAGTAGAACCAAAATAGAAGAAATCTAAATGGCCAGTAAACATAAGATAGTCAACTCACTAGTAATTCTAGAAATTCAAATTAAATATAAGGTGTCATGAAACAACCAACTTGATTGGCCGGTGTTTTAAAATATCATATTACCTAGCACTGGCAACGATTACATCTATGTACATTAATACACCTGAGAAAACACCTGGAATGTTTTTGTTTTTTTTTTTATCCTCACCCGAGGACATTTTTCCATTTTTTGTTCAGGTAGAGTGGGAGGGAGAGAGAGGAAGAGAAAGAGAAACATCGATGTGAAAGGGACACATCGAGTGGCTGCCACCCACACGACCGACCAGGGCCGGGGACAAGCTGCAACCGAGGTACATGCCCTTAGCGGGAACCAAACCCGGGTCTCTCTGGACCGCAGGCCGACGCTCTAACCGCTGAGCCAAACTGGCCAGGGCAACACCTGGAATGTTCCTGCCTACCAAGCTGAAAAGATGCTCATACCTGCTGAGCAGCCTGGAGAACCCTCCACACCTGCACGAGGAGACATGGGCAACACTGTCTGAAAGTGGGAGGGAGCCCTGGCCGGTGTGGCTCAGCTTGTTGGAATATCGGATGTCCCGCGCACTGAAAGGTGGTGGGTTCGATTCCAGGTCAGGGCACATGCCCAGGTTGTGGGTTCGATCCCCGGTAGGGCTGCACCGGGGCTGACCCTCATCGGGCAGCCACTGGGAGGGCCACGCAGGTTGTGGGGACCAGTGCACACCCTGATTGGTCAGGGCCAGTGAATCACTAGCTGTTAGATATTTTCAGCATCACCTCTGGGCTGCACTGTGATTTATTCAGCCAATGGGATGTGACTCCACAGTCAGAATGAATGAACTAGTTCCATGTGTCTTCACAGGCAGAAATCTCAAAAACATAATGTTGGATGAAAAGCAAAGTAGTAGAAAGACAATCATTCATGCCAAAAATAAAAAACACGCCAAACTTCCCTTGTTTAAGGAGGCGTAATTACATAGTAAACATATTGAAAATGTGGGTGGGAGCGACCTATGTGAGAGCAACCTACATGAGGGGTGTACCGACTGCAGGGGGCAGACCCCACGGCGGACGACGAGAGGAAGGGGACAGGGAGGAGCACTTAGGGGTTTCCACTCTACCAGTGATATTTTATTTCTTATTTTTAAAAAGATCCAAAGCAAACACGCACACTATTGACATTTATTGAGTCTGCATGATGCAACTATAGCTATTTTTTTTTAACATTTATGTATGTCTAAAATTTTTATAATTATTATTTTCTCAAGTTTAAGAGGTTCTGTTATCAAAATATTTAAAGCTTTCACGGTATGGCATCAAATCAACTGACTATAGTTACGATTTACTTGGACAAGAATAAAATAATTCATGTTTGTCAAAAAAAGACCATTTAGCCCAGCTGGTGTGGCTCAGCAACTGAGCGTCGACCCACGCACTAAGAAGTCCCCGGTTCGATTCCCACACAGGGCACATGCCCAGGTTGTGGGCCCCATCCCCAGTGGGGGGCGTGCAGGAGGCAGCCAATCGATGTTCTCTCTCATCGATGTTTCTATCTCTCCCTTTCCCTTCCCCTCTCTAAAGAAATCAATAAAGGGAAAAAAAATATTTTAAAAAGACCATTTAAAGGCATATTAATCCCATGAAAATATATTCATTATATAATTCACAAAACAGAACATTTTATGATGCAATCAAAAGTATTCCATTTATAATAATGTGATTTGCACTTATCTAAAACATTCCTACTCTACAAGTCAAAGTACACACCTGTTCATTGACCTCTACTGTACATATTTTAGGGCGGTTCTGCCTGAGGATAGGTTTCGATGCAAATGAAAAGGCTTTGTTTCCTCAGAGAAGGAAGCCTCACAGGATTGTCACAAATGAGGGGATCCTCACAGCCTGCCCCCCCAATCCACATAATGATATATTCTTCAAATTAACCATCTGGAATCGAGGTGATGCTGGAAACACCTTGCGGAAAGAACATGGTTGGTTGCGTTTAACCAAAGTCGATGCGAAACTCAACTCTAAGGATTTACTTACAGAGTGGCACCACTGCCGGGGTCCCAGTGTCCCTCGAAGCCTGGGCGGTTTTCCTTTTCTTTGTTTTCAAGCTCTTCTCGGAGTTTCCGCTGAGCCTCCTGCTTCTCTCTGGCTCGTTTGAGGCAGTGAGCTCTCTCCTGCTCCCTGATTCGTTGTTCAACCGCTGGGAGGTTCTGCAGCGCCTGAATCCTTTCTGAGCGCTCTATTTCTTTCCCGTCCAAGCACTTGAATAAAAAACAGCCGATACTGTACAGAGCGATTATTCCAGCGCTACAATTTCAATCAGCCCCACCGCTGACTTGGACCGGAATGTTTTAAATTTAGAAATAAATAATGCACCGCGGTGGGATGGGAAGCATCAGAAACTTTGATCTAGGTCAATGTTGATTCCGTACAATCAATACCGTTTATAAATTGTCTTCACTGGTAATAAGAAGTTGGTCTTCTGTTAAAATCGATTATTAGTGACAAGCTCTCAAAATACATTATTTCTATAACTACTCACTATATCAAGGATTTCAATGTCCCAAGTCAAACCATGGCTCTAGTATAACAGTGACCCTTCCCAAATGCTCTCTACAAGGAAGGGCCTTGTATATTACACAAAATTGAGCTCTAATGCACATGAGCTCATGTTCTACCTCTTCCAAGACACACAGAGTGTCCTATTAATTGTACGGCCACTGTTTACATTGGTATTTTTGTAGTGATTTTCCAAGTCCAAATATTCCAATAAAACACCAACCTAAAATTTGCAGTTTCAAAGCTACCGATTTAAAGATAGCTATGGATTCCCCAGCCTCATTCTACAAAAGGGGGAGGCAGTTCTTAGAAAGGTGTGGCAGGCAGAAAATCCCCCCCCCCCCATCCAAGAACAGACATGTTCTGATCCCATAAATATTACTTTACATGGCAAAAGATACCTTGCAGACGTGGTTAAAAGAAGGATTTTAAGATGGGGAGACTATCTAGATTATCTGGGTGAGCCCATCACACGGGTTCTTAAAGTGAAAGAAGAAGGTGAGTGTGTCAGGGTCCGAGTTGGGGAGAGAGCTGAAGCTACACTGCTGGCTTTGAAGATGGAGAAAGGACCTGCCATCTCAAAAACACAGGAACCCTTCCGATGCTGAAACAGACAACTTTCCCCTGCACAGGCCAAAGAACACAGCCCTGCCAACACCTCAGTCTAGGACATCAGACATCTAGAACTGTAACAGTATACATCTGTGTTGTTTTCAGCCACTCTGTTTGTGGTAACTCATCACCACAGCGATAGGAAACTAACACAAAAGGACAAAGCACACAAATATTGAAGATAAACCAATTTAAAAAATTATGAGGATCGGTTACATTGTAAATCAAAATTATAATGTTGACATTTGGGGAAGAAAATTAATTTAGAGTATACTTTTGGTCACAGGACTCGTGTGGCTGCTGTAGGCGGACTACAGGTTTGGCTCTGAGCTCCCTGGCAGCCAAAGCAAAACAGGAAAACTTGATCAGTCACACGATTCTTCTTGTCTTTCATGGAAAATACACTCGTTTCCAGGTTCCCCCTAATGTTTATTTCTAAAACACGTTTCTGAAGTAGAGCTTCACAGTGTCAGTCTAGGGAGTGCTGCACGTGGTCCACACGGTAACAGGCTTCGCAAAGTGTTCCTTCCAGCAGCCTCCAGGGAAAGATGAGGCCATGATGCTAAAACTAGTTTACTAAAGCCTAGCCTTTAAGGGGATGAGGGATTGTGGCCCAAGTACTTAGTCTATTTTTTTATCCTCATCCGAGGACATTTTTCCATCCTTTGTTCAGGTAGAGTGGGAGGGAGAGAGAGGAACAGAAAGAGAGAGGGAAACATTGATGTGAAAGGGACACATCGAGTGGCTGCCACCCGCACAACCGACCAGGGCCGGGGACAAACTGCAACCGAGGTACGCGCCCTTAGCGGGAACCGAACCCGGGTCTCTCCGGACCGCAGGCTGACGCTCTAACCGCTGAGCCAAACTGGCCAGGGCTATATTATTTTATTTATTTATTTATTTTAAGTAACCAAATTTAAGCTAGAGTTAAAAGCTAAACAATTTGGAAAATTCTGAATACATATCATTTCTTCCATTGGAATTTTGATAAACACTGGAAAGCAAGGTGCTATTCTCTCACTTGTATCTGGACGACAAGGATTTAAGGATTTACTTAAAAATGTGCGTGTGTGTGTGTGTGTGTGTGTGTGTGTGTAATTGTGTCTATCTTTCCTTATACTTTGGGTTAAATATTGATTTAATCTAGACCTCCTGTTTCTAAAAGATTATGAAAAATGAGCCCCCATCACCACTCAGACAGGAAGCAGAAGAGCTCATGTTGAAAACGGATGACAACTTGGGACGGTGCCACCTGCCTGCCAGCCCCTGTCCCGGGGTCTTCTCACTGGATCTCAGTTTATTTGATGACTTCTGTTCGGTAGTCTAGGAAACTGGCCCATGCTTCCTTCGAGCCAAATCACACCTGTAGATGGCCTAACGAACTGAGAGGTTACGTTTTAAGTTGTACATTATACTATTCTTTGGTTTTTCTTTAGGATTCTTGAAATACAGAGGTAGAGTGTCTATGATTATTGATAATCATTGCACACATGCTATATCTAAACGAAAGAGAAATTAACATCTATCAAAAGACTCGCAGAACTGTATCCCATTATAGATTAGAAAAATGAGGTTTACCATTCATAGCTAGTGGAGACATGAGTCAAACCCTGGTCCGCCTGCTGCCAAGCACCTCCCACTACGCTGCTGTGTCTACTTACCACCTGGACTGGCTCAGACACACAGAAGAGGATACATAGAAAGGGCTGAATCTGCCCACACCTCTCTATATGTCTGTCTAAATAACTACTTCATTGTTATGAGTTAAATTGTGAATAGTTGAAGTCCTAACCCCAGAACCTCAGACTGTGACCCTATTTGGAAATTGGGTCTTTGCAGATGCAGTTAGTAGGGTGGGCCCCTAACCCAATATGACTGGTGTCCCTATAACAAGAATGACACGTGAAGACAGATATAAGAAGAACGCCACATGAAGATGAAGGCAGAGACAGAAGTGACGCTTCTACAAGCCAAGGAACGCCACCTACTACCCGCAACCACCAGAAGCCAGGAGTAGGCATGGAACAGACTCCCCCTCACAGCCCTCGGAGGGGACCAACCCTGCTGACACCTTCCAGCCTCCAGACTAGGAGATAATAGATTTCTGGTGTGGCCTGGCCAGTGTGGCTCAGTGGACTGAGCATTGTCCCGAGGACTAGGAGGTCCGGGTTCGATTCCCAGTCAGGGCACGTGCCCGGGTTGCAGGCTCGATCCCCAGTAGGGGGCGTGCAGGAGGCAGCCGATCGATAGTTCTCTCTCACATCAATGCTTCTCTCTCTCTATCTAAAAAGTCAATAAAAAGATGTTTTAAAAAAATAGATGTCTGGTGTTTAAGCCACCCAGCTGGTGGCGCTTTGTTACGTCGGCCCTAGGAAAAGAATGCATCTGTGAACACAATTCCTTTCACGTAGATCACAGCTTTCAATGAAATAAATGGCTAAGATTCTAACGTTTATCAGCCTATTTTCAAAGACGAGCAAACAAGTGTCTGAATGCTGTTTTCCAGAGGCCGGCCGCTCTAGGCAGCCGCCGAGCCGGAGCAGCTTTCTGGAGGGAAGGGCGTGCCCCGAGCCCACCCTCAGAGAAGCGTGGGAATGGTGTCAGCGTGCGTGGGGGGCTCAAGTCCCCGGAGCCCAGGGCCAGGCGTGCGGGCTTACACAAGGAGCACCGACTCCCTGGGCCCTCCTCAACTCCCTGCACTACTGGCTCCCTGCAGGGCTGCGGGGGACCAGAGATGCCGCGCCCCCCGCACCTGGGTCATCCTGGCCTAGGTTGGGGCGCCGGTCTGATGGCAGGAACACACCGCAGCACGGATGCGGCAAGGCTGGGGCGGCCGCGCGTTTCCAGGGCGACGCGCCCAGCACCACCCCTGCGATGTCCTGGTTCTCCTCAGTTCACCTTCTAGGGGGTCACTGTACAGCGATGATCAGCCTGGATCACGTTTGAGCCCATTTATCATTTATTCTAAACAGACGCTCTGGATTCAATTACCTGAGTCACTCACTCTCTTAATCCAAGAAATTTACATGAGAAGAAATGTGTCCCATTAACCCAGAAATCTCAGCTACACAGAACACCGCAATCTGCAGACAAACGCCCTGCCCTGCTGGCGTGGCTCAGCCGGTGGGGCCACCCCGGCGCTGAGAGGTTGCTGGTGCGACTCCAGGAGGGCGCACGCCCGGGTTCCAGGGTCCGTCCCCCGCAGGGGCGGCAGGAGGCAGTCGACGGATGTTTCACGCTCACATCGATGTTTCTCTCTCTCTTCCTCTTCCTTCCTCTCTCTCTAAAAAATCAATAAAAAATTTTTCTAGAAAATAAAAACAAACGCCCTCTGCGCACAGACGAACATGCGTATCGGGGAGCCAGCTCACCCTGCATTCCGTGTGCAGAAGAACGGGCATGTGCAGGTCGGGAACTCGTGGGACTCCGCAAAAGTCAGCATTACTTCTTTTACAGGCTCACATGTATGATTTCTCTAGAAACCATATGCTTTTTCCCTAATTCTAAGAGTATCCGACTAGGGGAGATACAGTGTAGGAGACGCACACACAGAGTAGTGGTTCTCAGATGCGGTCCCTGGACCAGCCGCGTCAGCGTCACCTGAGTGCCAGAGAGGCGAAGTCTTGAGTGTCACATCAGACCCACTGAACCAGAAACTGAGGGTGGGGCCCAGCGAATGCCACTGCCATCCTGGTATTCCAATACCCACCCAAGTTTGAGAACCGCTAACATAGAGAACAAGCTAATAGAAAGCAACAGTAAAATAATACTTATAAAAGCTATAAGCCCTGGCTGGTTTGGCTCAGCGGTCAGAGTGCCGGACTGTGGACCGAAGAGTCGCAGGTTCAATTCCGGTCAAGGGCATGTACCTGGTTGTGGTTCGGTCCCCATCCCTGGTCGGGGTCAAGCGGGAATCAACCAGTCGATGTGTCTCTCTCACGTCTATGTCTCTCTCTCTCTCTCCCCCTCCCACTCTATCTGAACATAAAAGGAAAAAAAGTATCCTCGGGTGAAGATTAAAAAAAACAAACAGAGTAGTTTATGACTATGAAATACAAAGGTATATGTATATAACTGTAGCCACCTCAAAAACCCTAAGTGATTCGTAATGACGAATGCTCTTCGTAACAGGGTTTGAACTCATAAGGAATGGTTAAGTTCCGTGCGTTCTGAATGACAAAGGAGAAAAGTACACAAAGATTCAGGAACGTAGTTAAAACCAGTTTAGCCCTGGCCAGTTTGGCTCAGCGGTTGGAGCAGTGGCCTGCGGACCAGAGAGTCCCGGGTTCGGTCCCCACTAGGGGCACGTACCAAAAAATAAAAAATAAATAAAACACTTTAAAGGCTCAGTAAGTCAAGGAATTGGGTTTTGATTTTCTGGCCTGTTCCCTGTCTGAAGCCACGCCGGTCCTGACAGCGCGGGGACGAGAGCGGGACTTGCGGGAGTCGCTCATTCCCGTTAGCTCTGCGGCTTCTGCGTGGCTGGCACAAGCCCACCTGTAGCTGCGGGAGAGCTGCCACCACGAACGGCCGGTAGCCTTCGAAGTCAGCACACGGGTTCCCCATGAGAAAGAGCTCCCTCAGGTGGACGTTGCCCCGCAGGGTCTTAACGCTGCTCAGCTCTCCGATGAAATTCACAGTCAGGTCCAGTTTGGTCAGCTCCTCACACCCTGGGGACAGACAGGAAGACAAGGGAAAGAATAACACTGGTAACAAATGTGTGCGATAGAGAGCACGTGACCCAAGTGACAGCTGCCACGGTTTAAATCTGCTGACTGACGGCACGGCTTACCAGACCCTACCTCTGTCACAGCCTCGCTGTGTGACCTTGGAAAAGTCACAAGCCTCCGCTTTCATCTGTGGAATCAGAACAGTATTGTACCCGGTTCGGCGGCCGTTGTGAAGACAGCAGGAGATGAGGCGTGTGCGGTACTTAGGTGCACCCCCGCCGCCGGCGCTCCCGCAGACACCAGCCAGGGCTGGAAGCAGCCAGTGAGCGCTCTCTGCTTCCTGGGCTTTGTGCTCCCCGGAAGGGAGGGTGCTCGGTCCCGTGAGCAGGGAGCCCGCAGTTCCTCCCAACAAAGTGCTGCCTCAAAACGCCAGCCACCGCAATGGGCCCAGAGCCCACATCTCATGATGATATCCCAGCTTGTGATGTAAAAATATAAGCAGGGGGGTAAGACGGGAACAGGGAACCTTGAGGGTGGTGAGAGAGAACAAAGTCTGGATCTGCAACATCAGGAAGTCGACTGATGATGCCCAAAATGAGAACATCGGAACCGCAGGTGAAGCAGGGCATGAGCACACTGTCTGGAAACACACACAGCTCAAAGGGGAGTTGAGAGCTGTCACCTCTCGGAGCAGGAATTAGGGGTCTGAGGGCAAAATAAAGACGGCTGTTTTCCAACAGAAGTATAGAGCGCACTGACTTTTTAAACTATGGATTGCTCCCGGACAGTGTGGCTCAGTGGACTGAGCGTCAGTCCCATGGATGAGAGGTCCGGTTTGATTCTTAGGGCACAGGCCCTGGGCTGCAGGCTCGATCCCCAGTAGGGGGCGTGCAGAAGGCAGCCAATAGATGTCTCTCTCTCACATCGATGTTTCTCTCTCCCTCCTCTCTCTCTGAAAAACCAATAAAAACATATTTTAAGTTAATCAATAAATAAACTATGGATTGCGTTACTACAGTAAACATATCAATCATGGAAAAGATGAATGTCCAGAATGCACAGGAACATAAACACTTTTATGTAGTCTAGATTCCACTATACAGTGAAGGAAATTCCTAACTTCACGTCTTCAAAAACAATCATATATATGAAAAAGGACAACAAAATTGCAAGTTCTATTAAACTAGCAACAATAGAGACAAATTAAAAATATATATATATATAGTTAAGCCTATAAGGCAACAATTATCCTTTTCAGCATTCAATTTGACAATACATAAAATAGGCTTTTAAATGTTTTCTCCCTGGATCCAGAATTTCATTTGGCTACATCAACTGAAAATAGGTAATTTGTACCAAGCTGTTCTGTTCACAATAGCAAGCATAATTAAAAACACGTCAAGCACCAAACAATAAGGATTACTTAAAACACATCAATATCCTTGGTAATTCAGCCATTAAGTTATAAAAATGACTCGGCCATTATATGAAGAAGGAATACAAAATTACACGTGTATGTAAATATTATTAAGTTTATGTCTCTCTGTCTGCATGTTTGTTTTACGTTACACACATGCTAGATGGATTCTGCGAAATGTGGAAGATGTATTTGGAGCAATCTAACTTCAGATGCAGGTTCCTGGGTATTTCCTCGTTGACTCTGACAGATTCTGGGAGCCATTTCAAGCCATTTCAAATTTTGTCTTTCATATAAGAACAGCCTGACATTTGAAAGACTCCAACAAGTTCAAAAATTCATGTATTTTTGGATTTTGCTGTAATGTTGTAGATGAAGGACCCTCCAAATGTTCATCATAGTTGTTAGAGCGGCAAATTCTTAATTTTCCTTCTACTCAGCCGACCCATCAGAAATCAAACCACATCTGCCACCCCGAAGAAGACTGCTGCGGAGCTGGCCCGCTTGAGGAAGCCTCCTCTTCCGAGTTCGGAGCCCCACCCCCTTCAACTGGGTCTCACCCTCTGCCTCCTGTTCTGCCGGGGCCCAGCTCAGTGACCCGCGGGGGTCTGCAGGTCATGGAAATCAACAACACTGACTCCCCAGGGGGAGAGCGCACACTGTTGGGAACCCCACCTCTCCTTGCAGATTACGGTGGGGGTGGGGGTGGGGGTGGAAAAATAAGGTACTTTATTCTATCCCAGTGATTACACAACAGGGAAAAAGAAAAAAGCCATCTTTTGCCAAACAGATATCCAATTTATGTTCAAAATTACATTGTGATTTACTCAGTAGGTGGGCTGAGTGTATATATCCATCTTCCTCCTCTCTCACCTTTAAAATTAAACAAAAAGTGCGTATTTGCCAGCAGATAAGATGCCCACCCCCCTGTGCACATCCTCAAACGCCCCTGGGCCCAGGGCATCCTGGTTAGAGCTGGAAGGTGGAGCCCGGCGGGAAGAAGCATCCAGGTGACAGGCCTGCGATGGACCACGGTTCCCAAAGCCCAAAAAGACTACAGTGGCGATGCTGCCCTCTAGTGGTAGACGGCCAAAACGTGCAGCAAAAAAGAGCATGTTCCGTGTACTTTCGGGTACTTGCTTAAAAATGGCAGGCCGTGGCCCTGGCCGGTTTGGCTCAGCGGTTGGAGCGTCGGCCTGCGGTCCAGAGAGACCCGGGTTCGGTTCCCGCTAAGGGCACGTACCTCGGTTGCAGTTTGTCCCCGACCCTGGTTGGTCGTGAGGGTGGCGGCCACTCGATGTGTCCCTTCACATCAATGTTTCTCTCTCTCTCTCTTCCTCTCTCTCCCTTCCACTCTATCTGAACAAAAAATGGAAAAATGTCCTCGGGTGAGGATTAAAAAAAAAAAAAATGGCAGGCCGTGGACGAGAGAGAGGGAGCGTTTGAACGAGTCCTCTGCCAACTTAGACTGATGTTTCACCGACACCAAACGTGGTCGTGAGTAGATGTTTCCAGGCCTTTGTTTACATGGGGACGTGGTCCCGGGGTGGCTGAGCGGCGGGTGCAGAGTGGCGGCTGGGAGAGCGATGCTGTTCCCACCGCAGAAAAACGCCGGCGAGCGGAGAACCAGCTCAGCTCCCACACGGGTCTGGGCTTGAGGGCTCTGGGGGTGACGGCTTTCTAGGTTTTGAGGGTGAAAATTGTAAATGCATGATGAGCATAACTTCCATAGTCTGAACTATCCATGTCTGCACTAGGAGGCAGATAGGCTACAATCTACCACAACCTGCGTAAAACCCGCCTGATTTCAGACCTTGGCAGATGGGAGTGGGGTGGGCAGGGCGGCCTTCCCGCCGCTGCTCCCGGCCCCTGCCCTTGGCCAGTGCCCTCTGAGGGATGCCTGCCTGTTCCCACAGCCCACGGCCACCCAGCCAGCCAGGCGAGGGGCTGCCCGTGGACACCCAACCTCATCGCTGCAGAAGAGCCCACACCGGCCACCAAGTCCACCAAATATTTTGGGATTATGAACAGACACCAGGTGTTACCACACACTTAGAAAACTCACAGCGCAGAACAGATGCCTGCAGAGTAAACCCGGAACCTTCCAGAAGGGCAAACAGGACAAGGAGGTTTCCATAAGGAATGCAGGTCAAAGGGCGTGGAGGCTTAGTCCAGTGCAACCCAAATATGTTTAAAAGAAGTGTGAGGGGACATCAGAGAAAACTGAAGTGACCGGTAGGCCTGTTCCCTCTGACTGTGGTGATGGTTTCCCCAGTGTGTACATATGTCCAAACTCATCCAACTGTATGCGTTATGTATGTGCAGGTTTTTGAACATCACTTATACCTCAGCAAAGCTATTATTTAAAAAGAATAATCGTGCTCCGAAAGACATCATCAAGAATGTTGATAAGAGAACCCACAAAATGGGAGAATATTTTGTTTAGGCAATACTGTTTAAATCAAATTTTAAAACTCAGTTTTAATTCGCAAAACAAGAACAAAATTCTTACCTTCCAGATTTTCAATTTTTTCAACGTTGTTTAAAGCTAAATTCAAATATTCAAGTTTCTTGAGTTTACCAACGTTTTCTGAAATACACAAATAATGTAGTTGACCTTCAAGATAAAAGACATTTTAACATAATCTGCTGTGAAGACACTAAAGCGAATCCGAGAATCATTATGGCCACCGAAGCCACGTGGGTTTCTCAGATCTGTGCCTGTACACCACACATTGCTGGCTGGCTACGTGACATCCATTTCTCCCTCCACCCTTCCTAACGGGAGCCAGCTCTGCCCACGTCCCTACCCAGCCCCATTCCAGGGGTTAGGCTTCACCGAGCTGGGCCAGTGCACGTCAGTCCCATGCCCCTTGCTAGTGACAGCTCAGGACCTCAGGCGTAAGTCAGTCCGCCCACGGCTGTCTCCTGGCAACCATGTGACGCGGGAGCAGGCAAGCAGGCCAAGGGCTGCCAACCAGACAAAAGGGGGAAGATCTATATTCCAGGCTTGGGGGTTTCCTTTCTCTCTTCCTGCTGAATGTTTCAAAAGAAGGAAGTATTATCATCCCCTATCGATATTCACAGTCATCTTGCAGCCAGGAGGGGACCAGCTCTAGGATGAAGCCCACTGTGGCTGGTAGAGAGAGAGAAGGAATCAACCAACCAAGAGCCAGCGCCTGCCCCATCTCTAGACTAGTCACTGGATGCGACTCTAGATTTCCTTACTGTAAAGCCACACTGAGTTGGGTCTTCCTGTACTTGGAGCCCAAGTCACCCTGATGCAGGATCATCATTTTTCATGCACATGAAGGCTTATTAGGCAAAGCAACAACCATAAGTAAGTCAAGAAATCAACGTAGGGTGGGGCCTTCTAAAAACAGCTAAGAACACCACAGCTAACAACGCTGAGTGCTTTTACATGCCGGGTCATTTCCTAAGCATCGTGCACACATTATGTCCTCAATCCCCCGGTAACCCTACGAGGTAAAAACTACCGTTCTCTCCCTTTCACACGTGAGAATACCCAGGTGTAAAGAATTGATCCACTTCTTCAAGGTCAAGCACTAGAGCCAGGTGATCTGACTCCAGAGCTTGGCGGTGAATCACTGCTCACCACACCTTGAAAGAACAGTCCTTTCTCAGAGGGCACAGAGGTGACAGCCCTGCTGAGAAGTGTGGGTTTGGCAGCCCCCCTCCGGGGCCGCTTCCTCCGCCCGTTTTCCAGGGACGGCATGAAGATCATATATGCCGATGTATAGCCGTCACTCTTCTCATCCCATTTCCTTTAAAATGTGCAAAACATCACATAGGTTCCCAGAGAGTCAAGGATAACAGTTTCTGTCTCAGCCTCAGTTTACTCATTTTTCAAAATGGGAACTTTAGAAAAAATTCCTAACGTGCCCCTCAGCAGTTGGATTATCTTCAGCCCCACTGGGGTTGGTGAAGGTACTCCGCGCAACATCGGAGCACTTGCTAGTCGGCAGACACACAGGGCTCTGAGGGGCAAGGGCTCTGCGAGACAACAGTGGCTCCTCGGCATCCTGAACGGAAACACCTGCCGGGCCCGTGTGGCTCAGCGGCTTGAGCATCGTCCTATGGCCTGAGAGGCCCTGGTTCGATTCCTGGTCGGGGCACATGCCCGGGGTTTCAAACTTGATCCCCAGTAGGGGGCGTGCAGGAGGCCGCCGAGCCATGTTTCTCTCATCAATGTTTCTCTTTCTCTAAAAACATATCTTAAAAAAAATAATATAACACCCGAAATCAACGTTGATAAAATTGCCAGCCCACAATAAAATACCTCTTCCTTCTCCACGTTTGTTGGCATTAGAACCCTCTAAAGACTTGAGTCATGTGGTAGAAAAATGAAGGTAAGATTTGCTCAGAAAGGATGTCCCAAATTCACTCCAGAGCAACAGGCCAAAGGGGTCAGGGGAAGAAGGCCCCGTAAGTGAAATGCATGGAGCCTCCCGGGCGGCAGGACGGGAGTCCCGCATCCTGGCCCAGACCCCCCTGGAGGAAGTCGTCGCCACCTGCATGGCCAGCCCATCCCCCCGCCCTGCAAGCGGCTCTGAGCTCTCTTCTGGGCCCGGGCCTGAGGCTCATCGGAAAGTCAGCACAGATGCAGATTCTGGGAGCTCCTCCCCCAGCTTCTGTGTCAGTAGGTCTGGGTCCCCAGCTCACACCTGGACCAATGCTAAATGGAGCCCCCACCCCCCCCAAGCCCATCTGTATCTCCAGTGAGGGGCAGAGCTCGGGAAAGGCAAACTTCCACCCTCGGGCACAAGAGCAAGTGTGGATCTGAGAGAAATACTTTCACCAGCGAAATAAATGCCTGAGTGCCTATGGGTGGAGTAGCACCGAGAAATCCCATCATTAACATTTAAAAGGGTGTTTAATTTCAGAATACTTTGGAAGCAAAAATGTAAGCCTTCTCCCAGCTCTGAAAAGGACCGAAATACTACGCTACTAATTAGTCACTGTGGCCGACCCCGCTGCGCAGACGGGGACTTCGGGACCCTCTCAGGCCTGCCCGGTGAGGACACCGTGGCGCCGACGCACGAAAGCTGGTGGCCGTCTAGAACGGCTTCAGATTGAACCACGGGCCCGGGTTTCAGATTTCTGGTCAAATCCAAGATGCTGAAAATAACGCTCTGAAGAGGTCTAAAGAATTCTAATAAATCTTTAAAAAAAAAAATGACCCAAGTTCCATGTTTTTGCAAATGTAGAGCCAATTTGGGATTATCTACCCAACTAGAGGCCACCGCGTCACCGGGTTCTTGTCCTCAGCACACTAACACGTAGGGCTGGTGGCTTGGTGTGTGGGTGCCGCCCTGGGGTGGCTAGCAGAATCCCCCGCCTCTGCACCCCACTGGACATCACAGCCCCCCACCCCCGCCGAACACACATGCACACTTGTGACAACCAAAAGTGTCTCCCGACATTGCCAAATGCCCCGAATGGCCCTGCCGAGGACGCCGCACATCGCTGTGGGAAGTTAGAACCTGACCTTACAGGCTGACCTCTGGGTTCCGGGGCCTGAGCCCACAGGGGCTGGCGCTCGCTCTGCCTCCCCAACCCTGAACCCACCCCTTCTCCTCCAGCTGTTTGGTTCTCCCTTCTGCTCCCACCTTCACGGGCTGGCCTGGGGCACCCTGGGTGTGACAGCGTGGACAACGGCAGTAGGCGTCACCTACTGAGGGAGCCCAGGCTCTGCGTGTCCTTCCATGCAGTCCTTACGCTTGTTTGCTAACTGTCGTCAACTCTGCTGTACAGACAGCAAGACTCAGACTCGGACAACTGCACCATCTCGCCTCCTTTCAGACTGTTTCTGAGTGGCCGAGGCGGGGCCCAAACCCAAGTCTACCTGCGGCCAGGGCCGCACCTGCTCTAACCACTAAATTACAGTCGTTCTTCTGAGTGTGGGGGTGCTCCTCCAGGCAGGAGCCCCGTTAGAATGATTGCACAGGCCTCCCGTTACCTCATGACTGCCCTGGGGGTCCGTGGGGAGGACCGACTTATCCCACCGTTGGCCTGGGAGAAGAAACCACACATGCCCTGTACCCCCTCTCCTGGCTGGGATCGCTCTGCCAGCAGAGGTTCAGGGGCTCCTCTGGCTCCTGCCATAGCGCTCTGTGTGGGCAAGGGAAGCCTGTGGCTGCCTCCTCCTGTGTGGGACTGGTGGAGGCTTCATTCCGGGGGCACCAGTAGGAAGCCGACTGGGCTGCAAGTCTCAACCACATTTTCTAAAGAGTCTTGTCCGTTTTAATGCTATTTTGATCTTCATCCACCTGACAACGATATTCACTTCTCATTTCCTTCCAAGCTGGAGCAGTAAACATGGGTGCAATTATCAAGGCCCTCCATACCCAATTCCGAGCACAGTGCCTTGCGAACAGGCATGGTCAATCCATCCGGCGGAACAGCTACCACAGGCCGCAGTAACCTGCCAAGGACCCACTCAATGCCTGCGAACGCCTTTCGTTTTCACAGAGGATGTAAAACTATGCCAAGTGCCAAGTACCTGGATCAGGTGCCCTCCTCCCTTGCAAACTTTTCAGAAACCCAGCCATGCACCAGCAGGTCAACCAATGGGCACCGGCCTTCCATGTTCCCCCGACTCCCTGATGGAGATCCCAGGGGCAAGGACACTGACCACCTTGGACAGGTTCAGGAATGTCCCATGTACAGCCCCTGAGACACGGCTGTGTCTACTTCCCCGTGTGATTCTTTCTAAGCCACTGTCTCCTCTGAGAACGACACTGCCTTTCCCAACGTCCTGCCATTCAGAATGTTCGAGAGCCCATGAGAACAAAGTCCCGAAAACTCACCAATCTTCCCAATGAGGTTGTTTTGGAGGTAGAGGATTTTTAAGTCCCGGCACCATCTGTCAATGTGTTCTAGCCTTTCTATTTCTTGCTGATGCAAGGAGAGCTCCTCCAGCGAAAAAATTACACAGTCGTTGTGCTCGGCATTCCGCCTAACGAGGTCTTCTGTGACTGCAAGAACATTGGTTACACATCACGCATCTGTCCCGGTGCTCATCAGCAGGTTCCTACATCACTCACCCGTGCATCTTTCTTCGCAGTTAAATGAAAGAGGGCAAGGAGTGCTGCCCCCTGCTGGAGCTTCTGCAGCACCAGCATGGGTCAGAGGGAAGAAGCATGATACTACCCTAGTTCTGTCTCTTTTGCACAATTTGCCGTATGGATGGAGACAGAGCAAGAATGTGGACATGGAATCTTGTGGCGGTGGCATGTCACACTGGGTGAGACCCACGAAGAAAACCAAGACAGGGTCACTTGCTCCTGAGAGGCACAGTGGGGCTGACAGAGGGCAGAGATAAGAAAGCATCTCCCACCACACAATCAGGAGAGGCTCATCCACTCATTCACTCAGCCGATAAGCACTAATTTACCTGAAGCTGCAGAGGAGAGAGAGGAACACCCAGAGTTGGCATTGCAATCTTATGAAGCCACCGCCACGCGGCCTGTTTCCGGGAGGAAGGAGAGAAGCTGCTCACCGGAGGGCGGGTCGCAAGAGTCTCCTCCCCTGTCATAGGTAGCACCGGGCTGGCCTGATGGTGGCACCAAGGGACCAGAGACAACAGTCTGGGGTTCACAGTACGACCCAAAGACAAGACGTAAGTCATCTTCGTAAGACACACTAAAACCAAGGCGGCGTTGACTACAAAGAAACCCTGCATTTCCAGGGCTGTTAAAAATTAGTAATCCACTCGAACCCTTACATTTTAGGAATGTGAAAATATTGCATGTCCACGCCAAGTGATAATAGTCATTTACTGCCCGTTTACAAGGTGCCAGGCACTGCCCTAAATGCTTTGCACGGAATAACATATGCGTAGACACGACGTCTATTTACATGTGTCAGATGAGCAGGGAAGGCAGTTTGTCCACTCGCCCAAGGTCTCGGTAGGAAGTGCTAGAGCCCATGTTCTAAATGCAGGAGTCTGGTGCCCGTCCACGTGCTCTTAACTACTATGCTACACTGTCCCCAACACGAGCTAGTGAGACGCTCTCGAGATGTTTCAGGTCCTAAATGTGGAGTCTCCTCTAGCGGAGACCACGCTCTCCACAGCAGCTCCGGCTGCCCCACGGCCATGCCACAGCCTTGAAGCGGAGTTTGATGTATTAAAAATGTGAAGCATGTACGGACCCGATCATTTGCGTGCTGTTAGCTGAACCCGCTGCTACTTCCAGTGACAGGGGTGGCTGGCAATGTCAGCTCTCTGGAAGAAAGCCAAGGGAATGGTAGAGGTCGAGAGATTAAAATAGCATGCAGGGGGCACGTTCCCTCTGCTCCAAGCTTGAGCTCAGCCAACAGGCGGACGTGACTGAAACCAGGTCCTGGGAGCAGCAGGCCAAAATGACTGGGGAAGAAACAGGCTAACCGGGCAGCCCTGCCAGCCCTGGCTTGCTAGGTGCCCATTGCCTGCTGCTCTCCTGTCTCTGGATGCCCCTGCTGGGAGGGAACCCAGCTTGAGGAGACCCCTCTATGCAGGGAAAACGTGCTGAAAACCAAACCCGGAAGAGAAGGGCATTGAAACTGCTTCCGAATGTCTTACCATCCAAGTTGGTTCTAACAGTAAATCAACTGATAATGAATAAATAGGTACAGCCAAGCTGAGGATACAGCAAAGCTGCTGTGTAAAATCAAGGTGTATTTATCTGCATATGATCTGCACCTGTAATGTAGCTCCAAGAATTCTGTTAGCAAGAATGCAACATGGGTTGAGATGGCACAACCAGTGGTATCTCAGCTAACTTAATAGAACGTGGGAATTAGTCACCACTATGGAGAAGGCCCTCAGTGACTAGTAGTGTATATATGATGGAAGCTACACAAACCCATGGATGAGGAAGAGTGGAATTTTGGAGACCTTGCTATCATTAGACCTAGAATCAATGGGGCCAGAAGAAGGTGCCAGTCCAGCGCCCCTGCCCTCCCTTCTGTGCCCCAGATGGAGCAGCAATGGATTTCTCTGCCCAGGATGCCACGCCTGCCTCCCAGCCCTGCACTGGCCGCTCCTCCGGGTTCATTCCTGAGGACACACCGCACCGCCAGGCGTGGCTCTCTGCACCCAGGGGTGGCCAAGGAGCAGCTGTTTCCCGGCAGCATCCACCTTCAGGCACGTGAGGGACCAGGACAGAGCCTGGGATGGAAAGAGGGAGGGGTGGGCCAGGGAGCCGGCTGTCCCCAGCACCACGCTCGGGCACAGAACCCAGGTTGGAGAAACTATACGGAATGTGGCCTTCCGGGCTGCCCCGAAGGCATTCTTCTAGGGGGAAATGTATGTTATTTGGCAGTTTGATCATAACTTGATACACGGTCTTCCACTAATTTTCTTTCCCGGATCGGATCCCCAGTGGCCCCGGAAGGCTTCCTGGGGTAGCCACACGGAGATGCCAGCCTAGCGGGAGCCCCACAGGACTGTGCTCTAGAGGCGTGGAACGTGCTCGGGTCCTTAAAGCCACGCTCTGTAGCACGTGGTCTCTGGCCTGGCGGCCACGCCAGCATCCACACCACCCACAGAGGGCTTCCCGGATCTCGGGGACACTCAAGGCATCAGCAGTGCTACAGTCTGAAAGACTTTTCTGGTTTTCCAGCCCAAAACACCTGCAGGTTCCTCCTCCAACCGTTGACAGAGTTCCTACTGGTACCAAATACCCTTCTTATGTTTCTCTTGCTACACCTTTCTTAAAATTAAAAAACAACAACAACAACAAAAAACCCACTTTTACTATACTATTATAAGTATGAATTTGATAATCTGTGCTTTCGGGGACATGAAGATAATCGGAAGGAATTATGCTGCTCCATGATCCACATCTCCGGATTGCGAGAATTAAGACGAAAAAAGCACTGTTGGTTGAATGGGCCCAGGGTAGGGGCCCTTCCCTCACCCTAAGTAACTGGCTTGCACACAGGCAGGCACACAGGGAGAAGCGGGTCCGGCGTTCCCTCCGCACAACGGGGAACTTGGCCGAGGGCAGCAGCCGCACACGATCAGGAGGGGTGAGAAGCACAGGGAGAGCCACGGACGACAGTAAAACTGTGCGGCCTCGAATTTCCCAGGGGCCCTTTTCTGAACTCGTCCACGTTAAGCCGACTGCGGCGTGGTGCTCCCTTTCACGGCACGCGAGACACTGCTGTCCCACAAGACTGCCTCACCCGCAAGGGCGGCCGCCCTGCAACACCAGAGTCCCCAGGAGGAAAGCTGTCAGAACAGCTGCGTAGTGGACGGAGATCTAGGGTCTCACGCTTTGAAATGCAAAAGCACTTTGCAGTTTGGGTACCACGTGACTTAGACCGGGGCGCTGTTCACCTTTAGAAAGCCTGCTCCAAATAAAGCAGTGTCGACACGAAATCGCTCTAGGGATTTCAGAATGCTTTGGGAGCGTTCATGTCATCCTACGGCTGTTTCACGAGACGTGGCGGTACAGTGCCCACGGGCCGGTGCGGGACAGGCCAGGGCACGCCACGCAACTGCTGCTTCCAGTTCCTCGCTTTGGAAAAACTCAAATAGCGAAATACAGGCCTCCGACAGGTCCCGAGAAATGTCTCAGCCGCAGAAGGTCGGAGCCAGTATCTGCCTGACTGGAGGACTGAGGGCTCAGTGCGATGCAGTGATGGTTCTAACCCAGCCCATACTTATCCCACTCCGAGAATTCTGCTCAGGAATCCAAAGGGGTCACCAGAACGGATTCCTTTTTTTTTTTTAATCCTCAACCGAGAACATTTTTGCATTTCTCTTCAGATACAGCGGGAAGGAGAGAGGGAAGAGAGACACACACATCGGGTGGCTGCCACCCACACGACCCCAACCGGGGCTGGGGACAGACTGCAGCCGAGGTACGTGTCCTTAGCGGAAACCAAACCCGGGACACTCCGGTCCACGGGCCGACACTCTAACCTCTGAGCCAAACCGGCCAGGGCAGAACAGATTCTTGATACCTTGAGGAAGTGTCAATAAAATGACTTGCAGGGTTGGGGAGCAAAGGGCGGGCGGTTTCTAGAACATCGGAGGTCGTCAGCTTTTCAGTGTATCGGCCAACGTTCTAGAAACCGACAATTTAGTGTTCATTCCTTCAGGCTTTATATCATGTTTTGTAAACAGCCCTCTGTTTCTCACTCTATTTAAGTAAAATCAAAAATATGTGTTTGTGGCAGATTTTGCAGAATTTTTAAACACCCTGAAAGACCTCGCAGATACGCACTGTACGAAAGAGAGACTTAACAGAAATTAAAGAGTTAAAATAGATGGTTACCTCCTGAAGCATCCAAACTCTTTCTTCTTTCACTGCTTTCAAAAGGAACCTTAAAACAGGATTCCTCCTTTGGCCTGCCGTTTCTGCCTGTGTTATCACGGTGAGCACACTGCACCGGATCCAGATGCCACTGGAGGCTACCCGCCTAGAGGGTGCTATTAAAACACGCTCAAGCGCTGTCGGGAGGTGACAAAGGTACACAGTACAACGAGTGCAAAGGAGGCAGCGATCAGTGCTCCTGGGTGACAAGAGGGGGGTCAAAAGAAGCATCAAGGAGAAGCCTGAGCTGAACCTTGAAGAGGGAGGGGTATTTGCCAGACAGGCGAGGGCAGAGCAGCCCACACTGCCATAGCTGCTATGATGTGCTGGGCAGCTCCCCTGCAGACTTGGAAGAGTGAACCCTGCTGCTGGGAGCTCTGCCCACCTTCTTCAGAAGTCCCTCCAGGAGAACAGACCTCAGCAAGGTCATGCCCCTCCCGGGAGAGCCATCTCCAGTGACGGGTTGCTGTAGGTCTATGAAGGCTCAGCCCGCTCACCCCAAATTGGGAAAAACTGAAGGTCCAATCCAAGTTTAGAATTCCTTCCACGTTTCCAGGTCGGTTAGCTAAGGCCTGTCTTAAGATGCATCACAGCCCAACTTCCCTCTCCACCCAGTCTTGCTTTCTTCCCTAGCCATTCCGATAACACTGATAAACTCCCTGCACACTAATCATCTAAAAGTCCGCTTCCTGGGGAATCCAACCTGGAAGAGTTAACACCAGAAGTGGTACTAAAAGCATATTCTAAGACAGGACTTTGAAGTCAGATCACCGGTGGTCATGAGGACACCGGTACTGGTGGATAGCTGTTGATGAGGGGCAAGGTCCAAGTGACAGCCAGTGGGGGTCTTACCCATGGAGAGCTAAGCAGATTTAACACATGACATCCCTAACAAAAACACAAATGGGCTGCCAACAACAATTCTCTCAAAGTGGACATTTAAATTACAACAAAGGTCTATGATAAGGAGGACATCACCTCAATAAAAATTCACAACTTCTTGCCCAGTTACCAGGCCTTTGCCTGTTTTAGAACCTGAAACCAGGGTTGCCAGATTTAGCATGTATATATATATATATATATATATATATATATTCATTTTTTATTTATTTTTTGTCCTGTATTTTATCTGACAACCCATTGACTAGGGCTGGGTCCCAGAGGAAAGGTTTCTGAAACATCCTAACAAGAGCACATAGCACTGATTCTTCCAATCCTTTCTAAAAAACAAAACAAAACAAAACCCGATGGCCGTCACTTACCTAATGACACACTGGGGAAAGGGGAACAAAAATATGGTGAGGCTGTTGGACACAGGGTTTGAGCTGACATGAATACCTGTAAACAAAAGCATTCTCCAGGTATTCTTTTTAGAGGGGAGACATGTGGGGGCCAGGAAATAAGTGGAGTCACACCCATGTCCCGCACACAGTGAGCCCGCAGTTTGTTAATCCATTGGCAAAGGCTGGAGACTAATTGGGTGGTTTCCTTTCTTTTAGCTACAAGGAAAGCAGTTTGTATAAATACACGCACACACATCTGTGTGTGGACAAAGGGTTTCATTGTTCGTTGGAACATCCAGGAGTAAAATGAGTGGGTCACAGGAGAGATACAAAGTATGCATTTAATTTTTGACAACTGTTTGTCTAATTTTCCCCCCACTGTTTTATGGAAGCGGAGGAGAGCAAATATCAGTCACCAGTTCAGGGACGGGGGGGGGGGTTCACATTCACAAGTCACCAGCCTCCTCTGTTGCCAGGATGTCAACTCTTCTAGGGCAGAAACCCGGGTATCCGGCACAGTCTCTTGGTTTTAAAATATTATTTATGGCGCTATGACAACAACTGACCAGTTAGGTTGGACTGCGCCAAGTTGCCATTTGGGAAGGGGTGGGGGGCAAACACTGCGCTGGTCTCAGAATGGCTCCAGCTAATGTACAGGGTTCCACCTACTACAAATAACTGTTAACCCACCACTCTGCAGGTTCGCTGGGTGTTTTTAAAGGAGCCTAGTGCAACGCCGTCGGTAAACGGTAATAGCATTGCCTCGTTACCGTGTTGGAGGTGGGGAGGCCTAGGCCCAAGGGGGAGGTCACTGCTCACAGCCAGTAGCTGGAGGAGGCGCGGGTTCGGTTCCCTGGGCCCACGCCAACCCCGTTTCACGGAGGACGACCCGAGCCCCTCAAAGGCCGGGCTGCGCGGCGGGTCTTGGAGGGCCTGGCGCGGCTGGGCTGCCCGGCAAGGGGTGGGCTCTGCCGAGCCGGCTGGGGTTCGCGGGCGGGACGGGGCGGCGGTGGCCCGGGGCTGGCGCCGGACCCGGGACGACGCCAGGAAGGGACGGTCGAGGGTGGAAGGTGGGCGAGGAGGGGGCGCTTACTCCGGCCCATGGCGCCTCTGCAGTTCGGACCCAGAGCCCCGGGCTCCCCTCACACTTCCCGGGCTGGTTTCCGCGCGTCCGCACGCGTCCCGGGGACCATGGCAACGGGGACGCTACGGAGGCCGCGCAGGACCAGGTGGCGCCGCGGTCGCTGAGCGCGGGCGGAGCCGGGAGGTGAGACCCGGTGCGGGGGGGCTCCCGGAGGGGACCGGCCGTCCCCACGCCAGACCCCGCCCACTCCTCGTCCCCCGCCTGCACCTTCCGCAGCCGGCCTCCCCTCCCCCAGCCTCTGGAGACGGGCCAGGGCCACGCGGGCTCTCAGTTGCTGGTGGGACCCGCTGCCAGGCGGCATCTTGGCCCGCCCTCGACCTTTTTAAAAAATGTCTGTATTTTATTTAACACCTTCCGGAGCCAGGCGATCGGGATGTGGCCTGCACCCCATTTGCTAGAGGTGTGACCTTAAACTTCCAGCGCTCAGAGTCTCCCCTGTGAGGTGAGACAAGAGGAACCTCAAGGATCCTTGTGAAGCTTTAATGAGATCATGTGAGTGAATGAGACACTTTTTCCAAAACAGCAGACTCAATATAAAGGGTAGTGGGCATCTCTTTCAAGTCACCGCCCAACACCAGTGTCCTGCTAAAAAGTTTTCCAAAAACACCACCCACGGCCCCTCCATCTGCTTTCCGCAGGCCCCACTGTCTTCATGGTGAAGTATAGGACGTCCCCACGTGCTGGCCCCCAACTCCGGGCTGACGGCAGAGTAAGCTCATCCTTCTCAGTGTTTGGGTGGTAGCCCTGTAATGTCTTACACCTCCCAAGAGTTGTTTTCTTTTTAATGTGTAATTCTTAGAGAATTGTTACTTTCTCCCGCATTTGTTTTTGTTTTTTTAAAGGCAATATGTAAAACATTCAGACAAAATCTTGTGCCCATCCCAGGCATAGTCTTATCTTGATATGTGTATTATGTTTGCATTTTCAGAGAAGACTCATAGAGCGACACTGAGTGCAAAAAAAAAAGTGTATTCTTTGAGGAGACTCCTGTTGGTGTTTTACTGTGGGCAGTTATTGGGGTTTGCAGGGTGGAGACAGAGCATGAACTGGGGCAGAGAGGCAGGAAAGCCAAACCAGGTGGAGTGAAGTAGGGACTAATCAGTGTGGCAGTAGAGACAACTGCAGGGGGGGTGAGGGGGGGGTAGACAGGAAGCCTGAGAAATTAACAGGGGTAATGGAGTCCTTAGATACCAGGCCAAAGGAACGGACCTGGAATGGTGGCATTTCAGGCACTATGTCCCCACTGTGGAATTCTAAGGAGATGCCCAGAGGCACTCAAACTCTAAACTTAGGTGATATCCACTGCTCCTACCCAAAAGCCTGGTTCTCGTCATTTCACTCTTTTTTGGGAAGTAAGACAGTGTGGGGTGAAGAATATGACCTCTGGCTTTGGAGACCACAGATTTATCATTGTCTGGCATCAGACAGGTGATCCACATCCAGAGCTAAAACTTACCCATATCCACATGAAGGTGCTGATGCAGGCAGGTGATGATGGCTGTGTCACTGGCAGGTCTGTGCACTGGTGTCTGCTTGCTCCCGGGGATGACATGCCGCAAGCAGCAGGCGGGTTTAGCAAACATGCCCCTGCGGAAACCCCTGCATTTCCACAGTGAAGGGCTCAGCGAGGCCAGAAAGGACCTAGCTTCTGGCAGGAAGCTGGTACGAGGGGGTCTTCCAGATAGGAAGACAGTTTCTCAGATGACAGAGGCATGAAGTCAGGTCCAGTGTAAAGGATCTCAGTGTCTGGGTCAAAAGAGGGAGACAGTCCAAGACTCTGGAAAGTTCTCAAGAGCAATCGCAACGCACTGTTTGATATATTGACTCTGCGCCTCTATCCTCACCTTCTAACAAACTCTTTCTTACACTGTCAACCTTATTCTTAAACTCTCTGGTGGTCAAAGGGGCCTTGAATTTTTCTTGCAAAACTTAATGTCTATGAAACTGGGGTCTTCTATTGGTTCACACACGAGGTGAACAATAGAACTGTCATTCTGCATATGTGCTCCACGCTGCCCAAGTGCTTGGAGGTGCTAATTAATTCTCACAGCAACCCTGGGAGGCAGGCGATGTCATTTTATGCTCTGCGTATTTCAGATAAGGAAACTGAGGCCCAGTGAGATCATATATCTAGGACAGTGGACCAGGATTTTGGGCCCAAACCTGCTTTGCATACTGCATTATTTTCGAGACTGAGAGCTACCTGAGGGCAGGGAGGGAGTTTGTTTTTCATCTCTGAATCCTAGCTCTCAGCCCAATTCCCAACACTCATTAGGTACCCAGTAACTATTTGTTGAATGATTGAATGAACGAGCTGGTGAGCCCGTCTTCCCAAGAGCTTGCCTGTCCTAGATGAAAGGACCACATCTCATGACTTCAGTAGGACCATCTCAAAGGTGTCCACTGTTTAAGGAGATCTAGCAGGCTACCCTGGAAGGGTGCCCCATTCTTCTGGTCATTAGACATGTCTTTGTCTTTGAGGCCTTTTCACCGAAATCTAGGATAAAAGCTCCTTCCAGGATCAGGGTCTTGACAGATTGTTTCACCACCTGGTGAATAAGTCAGAGGAACCAGGAATCCTACTTAATAGTTTGCCATGGGCCACGCTGGGCTGGCTATGCGGTGTCCTTCCTCCAACCAACATCACAGTCACTGTGTTTCTTAGAAACAGAGCATCCGTGGTGCCTGAAGGACAGGTGTACAAATGAGCTGTGATTGCTACCATCCACTGACAGGAAGGGAATTGGGAAATCAATCACACAGTGTGACAGCTCCGAGTAAAGTCAAGTTCATGTCTCTCAAACTGAATGAGCCAGTTTAAAGAGTCACGGTGTGTGTCTGTTTATGCGAATCATTATTCAAAATAGACTCGTTTCTTCGGCTCCTGGAAATGTAACGAGATGTGTGGTGCTTCCTGGGGAAGCATCTACCACGTTTTTGTGAATATAAGTGGGAGAAGTAAATCTTGAAGAGGGTGTTTTGAAATTCCAAGTGACAACAAAATAGTCTTCCTACTTCTTTTGTGCTGTATACATTCCAGGGACCGTGACCTAGAAAACTATTTGATTCTTATTATCTTCATTATAATATATAAGTTAGCAGTTTTATGATGAGTAACTAATGCTGTGGTTACAATCCCATTAATTTTCCTTCAGCAGCTTCCTCATTGCAGCTTCATGGCCAGCAAACAAACTGCCATGTTCACCAGCATCTCTAGAATTTCAGTTCGTTCCTCGTTTCCTCCCTTGCTTCCTTCCTTCCTTCTTTCCTTCCTCCTCCTTCCTTCCTTCCTTCCATCCATCCTTCCTTCTATCAGCAAATATCTATGAAGTACCGTCCATCTACTAGGCTCTGGGAGGAGTAATTGAAACAAATTAAAACGGGATCTCCAGAAACATCAATCCTGCCTTAATACGATCTACAAAGATAAACTTGAAATGAGACCCCCGGGGAAACTGCACGTAACTGCCAATTTTGCTAATGATAATAAGTTTATTTAAATTGCTAATATATTCCTAATTACTCCGGTTCTAAAATGTTTACTTCACTGTCAGTCATCATCTTTGATGTATGTTCTTTGTGAAAAGACTTTGTCATATCCATCAACCCTTTTCAAGTTTGGTGGCAGCTGCTGAAGGTGATTTCGCCTTCCTTGTCACACAGCCCGGCTGGGCACCATTTGTCCAAAGGCAGAGAGGCTGTCCCCACCAAATCGTCTAGAATTCATGGCTTCCCATTCAGCTCAGAGAGAGGGAAGGATTTGCTTACATAAACAAAGAAGACTGATGTTGTCTCTTCCAAACTCTGTTTTTAATCTATTCCATCTTCTCCCTGTTCTGTCTCCTCTCACCTCCCTGAATGTGTGAGTGTGCGGGGGTGTGCGTGTCCAAATAACTGTTTCAAGTACATGACGTTGGTGGAGTAAAGATTCATAGTCTGGGTAGGCATTAGAGGGACCCATTAATTCAGTTATTCATTTTTCCTCCACAGACATCTATTGAGCCACTAGAGTTGGGGATAGACTAGTGACCAAGACTGATAAGGTTTTGATCATCCCAGAACTTATGTACTCATAGGTGGAGACCAGATAGTAAACAAGTCAACAAATAAACACCACATAAGGTCGTTGCAGGGGATACGTGATGAAAGAAAAATGGGTTGCTAGATGAAGCTAGAAGGAGGGCCACTTTGGGTGGGCAGAGGAGGTCACATTCAAGGTGAGCCTGAGCGTGAGAAGGAGCCAGTTATGCGAGAGCTAAGGGAAGATTGTTCCCAGGGAGGGGGTGCAGAAGCCCTGAGGGGGGTGTGCCTGGCCTGGGAAAGGGACATACAAAGGCAGCTAGGGTGATGGGGCAGATGAGCCCAGGGCAAGAGTGGAGGGGGAGCGAGGAGGCAAATACTCATGGAGCCTGCAAGGAGGCAGGGTGTAGGCCAGGAGGTAGACATGGACAGGCGCCGGAGAGGACCACCTGGAGACACAGGTGGCCATCTATGTGGGCCTGGACCAGACCCTCCCCTCTGGGCCCTCAGAAGGAACCAAACCTACCGACACCTTGATCTTAGAATTCTGCCTTCCAGAGCTCTGAGAAAACCAATTTCTGTCATTGAACCCCCCTCCCACCCCGTTTGTGGTATTCTGTGATGGCAGCTCAAGCAAATTAACGTAGGAGTCAAGGACGACTCCCGAATTTTTTATCTGGAAAAGTGAGAAAAACGTCATTTCCGTTAACCAAGAGGGAGGGGCAGATGTGGAGGAGGCGGGCGTGTTACCCTGGAGACGTGCTCTAGACATCCGGAGACCCAAGAGGTCCAAGGAGGAAGCCTAAGGACAGGCCAGAGGGAAGAGTTGGCAGTGTTGAAGAATCGGCCGAGGGGACAAAACCAGTGGAGTAACGGGAAACGCCAAGGAAGACGCGGCTTCGAGAGGGAGGGAGGACAGTGTAAGTGAGGCTGCAGGTC